ATAGAATAAGGCCTAATTTATTTATTTAAAATCGACTGTTTTCCTTATATGAACTGTAACTCAGTAAAATCTTTGAAATTGTTGCATTTATATATTTTCTTCAGTGTATTTAATGTAATAACCATGGCAAACCTAAAGGTAACATCCAAACCAAACTGATATAATCTATAGCTCCCATTTGCACTCTATGCCTCCATTCCATGCACACACACATTTGCAGGCCTCTCTCCACTAGAAGGCTTAATGTGAAAAATCTAAGTGAATGGCATTAGGATAAATAAGGCCGATGGTTGCCTGGGCAACAGGCTATCCCACCCCTTCAAGCCTACCCTTTACTCTGGTCCTATCAGGAGAGAGCAATAATGCACTACTGACAGGTCGCAACAAGTGCAGCAGCACTTTCAAACTGTATTGCAAAAGGAGAGAGAAAAGGAGGGAGAGAGACAAAGGGGAGAAGAGAGGAGGGAGAGAAGGGGAGAGGAGGGAGAGAGAAGGGGAGAGTAGAGGATGGGGAAGAAATTAAAGGCAGGGAGAGAATCCATGAAATGGAGAGGTAAAAGAGTGGAGAAAGGAGGAGGGCAGGTAGCTCTAAAGCCCAGCCTCTCTCCTCCTACACTAGCCACCATAACCATCAATCTACCATCCATTCATCCATCCCGCCACTCCTGAGCTGGCCTTCTCCTTTGAACCATGCCAGAGAGAGCTGCCCGCTAGCTAGCTAGCTGACTGGAATAGCTAATAAGATAGGAACTGAGAACCTTTCAATGAGAGCCATTGCTGGTCTGGAAAAGCTACACTACATGACCAAAAGTATGTGGACACCTGCTCGTCGAACATCTCATTCCAAAAATGTGGGCATTAATATGGAGTTGGTCCCCCCTTTGCTGCTATAACAGCCTCCACTGTTCTGGGAAGGCTTTCCTCAAGATGTTGCGAGGACTTGCTTCCATTTAGCCACAAGATAATTAGTGAGGTCGGGCACTGACATTGGGCGATTAGGCCTGGCTCGCAGTCGGCGTTCCAATTCATCCCAAAGGTGTTCGATGGAGTTGAGGTCAGGGCTGTGCAGGCCAGTCAAGTTCTTCCACACCGATCTGGACAAACCATTTCTTTATGGAGCTCGCTTTGTTCACGGGGGCATTGTCATGCTAAAACAGCGCTGCTCACTCTTGGATTGCGTCCTACCTGACAGGTCGCGCCTACCAGGTGGCGTGGCGAGAATCTGTCTCCGCACCACGTGCTCTCACCACTGGTGTCCCCCAGGGCTCAGTTCTAGGCCCTCTCCTATTCTCTCTATACACCAAGTCACTTGGCTCTGTCATATCCTCACATGGTCTCTCCTATCATTGCTACGCAGACGACACACAATTAATTTTCTCCTTTCCCCCTTCTGATAACCAGGTGGCGAATCGCATCTCTGCATGTCTGGCAGACATATCAGTGTAGATGTCGGATCACCACCTCATGCTGAACCTCGGCAAGACGGAGCTGCTCTTCCTCCCGGGGAAGGACTGCCCGCTCCATGATCTCGCCATCACGGTTGACAACTCCATTGTGTCCTCCTCCCAGAGTGCAAAGAACCTTGGCATGACCCTGGACAACACCCTGTCGTTATCCGCTAACATCAAAGCGGTGACCCGATCCTGCAGGTTCACGCTCTACAACATTCGCAGAGTACGACCCTACCTTACACAGAAAACGGCACAGGTCCTAATCCAGGCACTTGTCATCTCCCATCTGGATTACTGCAACTCGCTGTTGGCTGGGCTCCCTGCCTGTGCCATTAAACCCCTATAACTTATCCAGAACACTGCAGCCCGTTTGGTGTTCAACCTTCCCAAGTTCTCTCATGTCAACCCGCTCCTCTGCACACTCCACTGGCTTCCAGTTGAGGCTCGCATCTACTACAAGACCATGGTGCTTGCCTAGGGAGCTGTGAGGGGAACGGCACCTCCTTACCTTCAGGCTCTGATCAGACCCTACACCCAAATGAGGGCACTACGTTCATCCACCTCTGGCCTGCTGGCTCCCCTACCTCTGCGGAAGCACAGTTCCCGCTCAGCCCAGTCAAAGCTATTCGCTGCTCTGGCACCCCAATGGTGGAACAAGCTCCACCACGACAGCGGAGTCACTGACCACCTTCCGGAGACACTTGAAACCCTACCTCTTTAAGGAATACCTGGAATAGTATAAAGTAATCCTTCTACCCCCCCCCCCCTCCCCCATAAAAACAAAAAAGAAAAGTGGTTGTCCCACTGGCTATCATAAGTTGAATGCACCAATTTGTAAGTCGCTCTGGCTAAATGATGTAAATGTAAACAGGAAAGGGCCTTCCCCAAACTGTTGCCATAAAGTTGAAAGCACAGAATCATCTAGAATCTCATTGTATGCTGTAGCGTTAATATTTTCCTTCACTGGAACTAAGGGGCCTAGCACGAACCATGTAAACAGACCCAGACCATTATTTATCATCCACCAAACTTTACAGTTGGCACTATGCATTGAGGCAGGTAGCGTTCTCCTGGCCAAACCCAGATTGGTCCGTCGGACTGCCAGATGGTGAAATGTGATTCATCACTCCAGAGAACGCGTTTCAACTGCTCCAGAGTCCAATGGTGGTGAGCTTTACACCACTCCAGCCGACGCTTGGCATTGCACATGGTGATCTTAGGCTTGCGTGCGGCTGCTCGGCCATTGAAACCCATTTCATGAAGCTCCATACGAACAATTATTGTGCTGATGTTGCTTCCAAAGGCAGTTTGGAACTCGGTAGTGAGTGTTGCAACCGAGGACAGACAATTTTTGTGAGCTTGTGTGGCCTACCACTTTATGGCTGAGCCGTTGTTGCTCCTTGATGTTTCCACTTCACAATAACAGCACTTACTGCTGACCAGGGCAGAAATTTGAAGAACTGTTGGAAAGGTGGCATCCTATGACGGTGCCATGTTGAAAGTCACTGAGCTCTTCAGTAAGGCCATTCTACTGCCAATGTTTGACTATGGAGATTGCATGGCTGTGTGCTCAATTTTATACACCTGTCAGCAACAGGTGTGGCTGAAATAGCCGAATCCACAACTTCAAAGTGGTGTCCACATACATACATACATATATATATATAGTGGGGGAAAAAAGTATTTAGTCAGCCACCAATTGTGCAAGTTCTCCCACTTAAAAAGATGAGAGAGGCCTGTAATTTTCATCATAGGTACACGTCAACTAAAAAATACAGAAAATCACATTGAATTAATGAATTTGCAAATTATGGTGGAAAATAAGTATTTGGTCAATAACAAAAGTTTCTCAATACTTTATTATATACCCTTTGTTGGCAATGACACAGGTCAAACGTTTTCTGTAGGTCTTCACAAGGTTTTCACACACTGTTGCTGGTATTTTGGCCCATTCCTCCATGCAGATCTCCTCCAAAGCAGTGATGTTTTGGGGCTGTCGCTGGGCAACACAGACTTTCAACTCCCTCCAAAGATTTTCTATGGGGTTGAGATCTGGAGACTGGCTAGGCCACTCCAGGACCTTGAAATGCTTCTTACGAAGCCACTCCTTCGTTGCCTGGGCGGTGTGTTTGGGATCATTGTCATGCTGAAAGACCCAGCCACGTTTCATCTTCAATGCCCTTGCTGATGGAAGGAGGTTTTCACTCAAAATCTCACGATACATGGCCCCATTCATTATTTCCTTTACACAGATCAGTCGTCCTGGTCCCTTTGCAGAAAAACAGCCTCAAAGCATGATGTTTCCACCCCCATGCTTCACAGTAGGTATAGTGTTCTTTGGATGCAACTCAGCATTCTTTCGAGGGAGATTATCAGTGGTCTTGTATGTCTTCCATTTCCTAATAATTGCTCCCACAGTTGATTTCTTCAAACCAAGCTGCTTACCTATTGCAGATTCAGTCTTCCCAGCCTGGTGCAGGTCTACAATTTTGTTTTTGGTGTCCTTTGACAGCTCTTTGGTCTTGGCCATTGTGGAGTTTGGAGTGTGACTGTTTGAGGTTGTGGACAGGTGTCTTTTATACTGATAACAAGTTCAAACAGGTGCCATTAATACAGGTAACGAGTGGAGGACAGAGGAGCCTCTTAAAGAAGAAGTTACAGGTCTGTGAGAGCCAGAAATCTTGCTTGTTTGTAGGTGACCAAATACTTATTTTCCACCATAATTAGCAAATAAATTCATTAAAAATCCTACAATGTGATTTTCTGGAGAAAAAAAATCTCAATTTGTCTGTCATAGTTGACGTGTACCTATGATGAAAATTACAGGCCTCTCTCATCTTTTTAAGTGGGAGAACTTGCACAATTGGTGGCTGACTAAATACTTTTTTTCCCCACTGTATATATCTATAGTACATTTGCAGATCCTTTCCCTGCGCTTTAAACCACTGAAATTGCTCACAGACACGGAAAGTGTAGTCCAAATTGATAATACTAGCTCGCGTAACAAAAACTGCTTCCAGCAGTTTAAGATCAGCGTAACAAAAACAACCACCTACTTTCCTTTCGAACCTCAGCTACCAAATCAACCAATGAGATCAATACCCAGTCAATAGTGTTATCTGAGGTGTCAATAGGTAATAAACCAGGTGCCAGTGGAGCCATTAACGAACCAATAGAGGCACCCATAAGGACTATATGTATGAAACAACCTGAACATACTGGTGCAGAGTACTGGTCTGTATCCCAAATGGCACCCTCTTCCCTATATAGTGCACTTCTTTTGACCAGGGCCCATAGGACCCAGTGAATGAGTGCTCTTGTTCAGATTGTGCACTTGTTCATCTCCCTTCATGGATTTAAAAGGAAAGGACTGGTATAAGAGATACGGTGGAAACTCTCCAGCTCATGCTTACACCAATCCAATGCTTTGAAATGTGTGGGGAGGAGTTAGTTAAGATACAATTGTATTGTCTGTTTTCACAGAAATGTGGGTTTGCGTTCTAAAACAATTCCTATTGAGTGCACACTTCAGTAAAAAGGTAGCTTACTGGGATTCAGACAGACTGGGATGAGAGCTGAGAACAAAAAGAGAAGTGGAGACTCACCTGTCTTCTCTTTGATCTCACACAGAACGCTGAAGAGGGCGGGCTTCATTCTGTGACAGTTCAGGGCATGTTTCCTGCCGGCGAGAAAGGAGAGAGTGAGTTGGAGATAAGATTAAGACAAGCAGGCATATATTCTAGTTATTTCATAGCATGTGCTGCTCCATAGCAAAGCGAACTAGATTTGATTTGATGAGGTTCGTCCATCCAGCATTGATCTAGTAGCGCAAGGTTCTGTATTAGTGGAAAAAATATAATATCAATAAATATAAAAGCCAATATAAATAAAGGAGAACGTAGTACTGGCTCAAGACAATTGTTGTATCATCACAGGAATTAAAACAAAGAAATTATACCACAATGGCTAGATTTTTACATCTGGGTTACAAGCTCTGATATTAATGAATGACAGATATAGGTCTAGGATACACTCACAGTTTCACATCTTGGTCCCCCATAGCACTGTAATAAAGTTCCCTCCCAAGACATGTTACGTTCGTACACTCACAGCAATTTTGGGGGAAAGCATACTCTGCTGAACACCCACTCAACTTTTATTTATATTATAAACTCTCAATTATAATAAAAAATTATGTAAAAACAAACTAATGGGCCAGGCTTCATCACTGCTTAGTACTAGCTGTACACCAGTGGTAGTCAAGGCCTTATTACTAACGGCAGCCCTGGGGCCCCGACCTCCAGGGGTCACCCCCAACCAAATTATTATTAATATTTCCGGCGGCAGGCCCCCAACTAAAACGTAGTTACGGATCCAAAACTGCTCTGATAGCATATGAACACGGCATAAGCCATGGCAGAATGTGTAGCATAGCAGGAAATTTGCTTTAAAACTGCAAAATTCTCTAAACCTCATGGCAAAATGTGTAAAATAGCAGGATTACCACTGGTAATCAGTGCCCGTCAGTATGAAAATGTATGCACTCACTAACTGTAAGTCGCTCTGGATAAGAGTCATTGGAAAGCTCACGAGCTGCATGCGACTCTCAGGAACTTAAATGGCGGCTCGTGAAAATACATTTTTAGTAAGGGGTCCTTGCCCAGGGGCTCATAATGGGGGCGTTGACATTGAAGTTTGAAAACCCCTGAGACACCACACACACACACACACACAGAAACATGACTCACATATCCCTCATTGCTCTGATCTGTGCAGCTTCAGTAAAGAGCTTAATATTGAGCCCTTCCAGAGTCCCTAGAGCTGTGGTCCTCAACTGAAGGAAACCTTTATGCAATTCTTTGCATCTACGCCTATTTATAAACCACAAAACATTTCATTTTCAAACTTAGGTGTGTTCAGAAAATATGAAATCCATTGGGAGATAATGTGCTGAAATACACTACAGCTAAAACGTACATTCATGAATTTGATGGATAACAAAAAATTGACAAAATAATACAGGTAAAAGTAATACTACCCAGAAAGGGGAGGTTGACAAAGGTAAAAAGGTGTTCAACTGATCAGCTGTTTTGAAACATTCCTGACACAGGCATCAGAGAGAGAATGAAACAACCATGATACAACAGATGAATAACACCTAACCTCAACTCCAGTTGTGTCCATGTAGTAGGCTATATCATATTGGGAAATGCGTGAGTATTTATATGCTGACAAGAAGTGTAATTGATGTGTCTGCCGATAACGAGGGGATCGTTCGTTACATTACTCGTTCGAGTGAGTGCATAATTGTGTCCACCTGTGTGTCAGTCTTAATTACATGTTTTATTTAACCTTTATTTCCACAGGTTTGTCTCACTGAGCTAAAATGTTATTTTGCAAGAGAGCTGTTCAGGTAAACCCCAATTTTTTTTTAATCACTGCTGGATTTGAGTGGGAGAGGGGCCATGGAGGGAGGTGGGGAGTCAGGGGGGTATGAGCAGGAGCAGGGGGAGGTGTGGTGCTCGTGCTCACATGGGGCATGCGGTCGGTCCTGTGGGTCCTGTAGACCTGTACACTACTGACCTGTGCTGGAAGTTGAGCGGCAGGCCACCCCCTGCCGTGCCCCCCCCAGCTCCCCCTCCCTCTGCGGGGTCATCTGATCCACCCCAGTGCGCCGGCGACTCCTCTGGCCAGCATCTGGACATGGGGTAACAGGGGGAGAGGGTGAGGGGCGGGCAGGACAGGTAGAGTGGTAGCGCACTAGTAGGGCACTGTTGTTGCTGTTGTCGTCGCTGTCTCCTCATCTGTTATCTCCGCTGCCACCCAAATAGTAAAACATTAGCCATCCTACCACACTAGGTTAGACCTGTACGTAGTGCACTAGCAGGGCACTGTGTTGTCCCTCCATCTCATCTGTCCTTTCCTGCCACCCCCCCTCCAGGTCCGTATAAGGGTATGTATGCAAGGGGCCCCACAGGTGACATGCATGGCCTAGGCAGGCTACATTTGATGGCGTGTGTCTGTGTATGTAGAAATATGCCAAACCAAAGTGGCAGTCACCTCATTTGGCCCTCTCGTTTCGAGTGATAGGAGAGCATTTAGTCCAAAATCAAAGGCTAAAATGTAAATCATAGAATTAATTAGGCCTTTATCAGACCATCTAAATCATGGACTAGGGCTAATCCTTGATGGGCTATATCATATCCAAGTCGAAAATCAACCATCCATTGACTCTTTCTCCACCCTGCTGCTGTATGGAAATAAGTAATTGACTGTGTCATCCCTGGCAAGTTTTCAAATGTATACTGTGTGTATATGTATTTTGTTAAACTTTAAAATAAAAATCTATCAATCTAGCCTAAATCTGCTGAGAGAAACTACTAGTGGATAATTTCACTGATCGAGAGCATCACAGGTCTTCAGATCTGCATATACACCTAATTAGGGTTGACGCGATACTCAGAGGTATCATTGCAAGGAAACAAAACATGAAAATGTATGCACTCACTAACTAAGTCGCTCTGGATAAGAGCGTCTGCTAAATGACTAGAATGTAAAATGCAATGAAGCAGACTACATTTCCTGAGGGAAACAGTCCTAATGTTGGAAACAAACAGCTTTACATTGTCACCCAGAATCACATTTCTTTTCCAAGCTATAGCACAAAATATTTTACAAGCAGTAGATCTTTTTAAAAAGGACCAAAGAGTTCAGTCTGCTTTGCGTTTTCCTTTTTGCCAAGGAAAATCTGGTATCGTAGTTTCGCGATACTGGTATCGTGACCACCCTACACATAATAATAGGCCTTAACTGCTGCCTAAGAGTTTCCAACTCCATCCTCCGATGAGAAGGCCGAACACATGTAAACAACAGGATGTACTAAGGAGTAAGAGTGGTGGTGTAGTAGAACTTCTTTAGAAGTGCCAGAGACGCATGCTCGGTCTAGCCTACGGCAAACATATTAAGTGCCTTCTTCCCAGACTCATTGAATCCCTTCTCAGAAAAATGTTGCCTATGTTTAATTGTTACAAAAAGTGGGCTTTATGTTTGAATGCATAGTCAGAGTAATGGTGGTGTAACTCTATTATTAGTATCAGAGATGCCCTGATGTGGATTGGCCTATTCATGCTCCGAAAAATGCTTGGCAAGTCATAAAAAAAAAGAATGAACTGCTCAACTTTGAACATCGCCCAGACACTGAGTATAAATCTATAGCACAACAGCCATCTAAAAACACACACACAACCACATCATGTACAGCACCATAGACATTGAGAGAAAGAAAGAAGTCTTCAACATAGTAAACACACAAACATTATTTTGGGCCTAATTTATTTATTGAACACGTATTCCAGTTAGTTAATTATGTCTTCAAAGTTATATCCTTGAGTTCAGAGTCATCATAAGCAGCGCTTGTAGCGTCCAGCATCCCCCCCCCCAAATCTCATTAATAGAAACTCGATTTTTGGACAGCTGCACTCCCGTACACATTATAGGAGAATTGATTGCACCCCGTGCAAAATGAAAAGGATGCACACCACCAGGAAGGGAGGGAGTGAATTAATTAAGAGAACCAGGTGGTCAAATGTGCGGTGGAAAATCACTAGCTAATGACACATCACACACACTGGCCACAGTCTTGCATTGGGACAGCCGCGTCTTTTGTTCACAATTCTGATGCTCCTTCCCCCGACTTCAGTGGACCTACGCCTCGGAGCCACATGAATATGGGTAATTTGCTTATTGTCATGCACACACACACACCAAGAGTCAAGATATGCAAACAGATATATTACGCATACATTAACAAGTGAAGTGAGAGACCTACAATTTTAATGATTGCTCTGTCAAAACACAAGTGACTGATTAACATGTCCTATACCTACACCATGCTATTATATGACACATCAACATGGTTATGGAAATATCAGATATGGCGATGCGAATCATTTTTACAAGCCCACACAAGTGAAGTCCTTCCAACATTTTAACTAACGACCATTTGAATTTCAAAAGCTCATCACCGACAGCGACGGCTCAATTAAAGGCAGCCTGATTATCTATGCTAATGACAATGTAGTGTATTTACATGCGTCCAAACTGGCACCCTATTCCTATTTATATATTGCCGATTTTGCAGGTTTTCCTACTTACAAAGCATGTAGAGGTCTGTACTTTTTATCATAGGTACACTTCAACTGTGAGAGACGGAATCTAAAACAAAAATCCAGAAAATCACATTGTATGATTTATAAGTAATTAATTTGCATGACATAAGTATTTGATCACCTACCAACCAGTAAGAATTCCGGCTCTCACAGACCTGTTAGTTTTTCTTTAAGAAGCCCTCCTGTTCTCCACTCATTACCTGTATTAACTGCACCTGTTTGAACTCGTTACCTGTATAAAAGACACCTGTCCACACACTCAATAAAACAGACTTCAACCTCTCCACAATGGCCAAGACCAGAGAGCTGTGTAAGGACATCAGAGATAAAACTGTAGACCTGCACAAGGCTGGGATGGGCTACAGGACAATAGGCAAGCAGCTTGGTGAGAAGGCAACAACTGTTGGCGCAATTATTAGAAAATGGAAGAAGTTCAAGATGACGGTCAATCACCCTCGGTCTGGGGCTCCATGCAAAATCTCACCTCGTGGGGCATCAATGATCATGAGGAAGGTGAGGGATCAGCCCAGAACTACACGGCAGGACCTGGTCAATGACCTGAAGAGAGCTGGGACCACAGTCTCAAAGAAAACCATTAGTAACACACTACGCCGTCATGGATTAAAATCCTGCAGTGCACGCAAGGTCCCCCTGCTCAAGCCAGCGCATGTCATGGCCCGTCTGAAGTTTGCCAATGACCATCTGGATGATCCAGAGGAGGAATGGGAGAAGGTCATGTGGTCTGATGAGACAAAAATAGAGCTTTTTGGTCTAAACTCCACTCGTCGTGTTTGGAGGAAGAAGCAGGATGAGTACAACCCCAAGAACACCATCCCAACCGTGAAGCATGGAGGTGGAAACATCATTCTTTGGGGATGCTTTTCTGCAAAGGGGACAGGACGACTGCACCATATTGAGGGGAGGATGGATGGGGCCATGTATCGCGAGATCTTGGCCAACAACCTCCTTCCCTCAGTAAGAGCATTGAAGATGGGTCGTGGCTGGGTCTTCCAGCATGACAACAACCTGAAACACACAGCCAGGGCAACTAAGCAGTGGCTCCGTAAGAAGCATCTCAAGGTCCTGGAGTGGCCTAGCCAGTCTCTAGACCTGAACCCAATAGAGGGAGCTGAAAGTCCGTATTGCCCAGCGACAGCCCCGAAACCTGAAGGATCTGGAGAAGGTCTGTATGGAGGAGTGGGCCAAAATCCCTGCTGCAGTGTGTGCAAACCTGGTCAAGACCTACAGGAAACGTATGATCTCTGTAATTGCAAACAAAGGTTTCTGTACCAAATATTAAGTTCTGCTTTTCTGATGTATCAAATATTTATGTCATGCAATAAAATGCAAATGAATTACTTAAAAATCATACAATGTGATTTTCTGGATTTTCGTCTCTCACAGTTGAAGTGTATCTATGATAAAAATTACAGACCTCTACATGCTTTGTAAGTAGGAAAACCTGCAAAATCGGCATTGTATCAAATACTTGTTCTCCCCACTGTGTGTGTGTGTGTGTGTATATATATATATATATATATATAGTGCACTACGTCAAAAGTAGTGCACTATATAGGGAATATGGTAACATAAGAGTTAAGGTTAGGTAAGAGTTAAGGTTAGGTAAGGGTTATGGGATCTCAGATAGCACTAACATGTCATTTATCTAGCGGGGCTCACAATTTGGCAGGCCTGCGGTGGGACCAAATGGTTTGATTGAGCTTGCATGTGTTCACAGTGACGTAGACATAATTATTTTCACTAAATTAACGCTAAATGTAATTGAAAGAGGAAAACAGTGACATTGCATAACGTTCATCCACTTTGTATGAAAAAGATGGTGGTCTGCCGCACACTATCATCACTTGGAGGTAGGTTTAGTAATAGTAGACAGTACAATGTGCCGAGATGAACTCTGCTGCAAAGTGTTAGTATTTAAACAAGTTGAAATATGTTTTTACAAGTGTATACTACAAATGTATTTATATTCCATGCAGTAGTGTCATATGGCATGAGCATTTGATGACAGCCAAAAACTTGTTTAAACTTAACACGTTGGGGAAAACTTCAGGTTTCATGTGGTTGTGTCCACTCTTCAAGAGATCGAGCTGAACCGACTAGGTATCATAGATCTGAATGTTACATTTTACATAATCCGGGTAACATTGTTTGCCCTGGCTTTCCAACAACCTAGGAACTAATCTGATGGGCTATTTGCATATAATGGTACGTCAAAACATGAAATCAGGCACAGATGCCACTATGTGTGACAACCACAACGCAATGAGAGATTATCTAATCTTGAGCTGTAAAATACTTTAATAATCCATCAAAATAATTTCACAAATGCAAAATATACACTTACTGTACACTGCTTTAACCGGTTTTAACAGTTGCAGCCGACAGTATTTTTCAGTGATAACGTTTGTGTGGCGTCTGTCTTCCGTTTACACACAGGTGTTCGGGAGACGCTGATAGCCAATTAGCCCTGGTAGTCGAATGTCTTCCGTCTGTTTTCCGTGAAAACAAGCATTTTAACATGGAAATATGGCCACGTGTGAACCCTAAAGCCCTATAAAAAAGGGGTGTAGTAATTCAACCTTTTTTGTTGTTGAAATTATTTATCGCTGATATGAAAGATACGTTGCTTATGTTTCCAAAACTGTACCACAAGCGATGCATGTTAACGTTTAGCGTAAGCGGCGGGGCTCTTAACGCAACTCACAGAAGATACTATTGTCACTAGGCGTTAAAGGTGGTTAGAGTCTATGAATGGGCAAAGCCTGGGGTGTCAAACTCATTTTTCCCAGGGGCCGCATTTCGGTCTTCAACAAGGTCTGGAGAGCTGCAATGAAAATGTGTTGTATTTCCTTGCCTTCAAAATTTGCTAAAAAAATTGTCCTCTATCCATCCTTTTAGGAATTTGATACTACCTGACTGTTTAGCTTTCATTTTTGTGATTTTTTAGCGAGCTGGACACAATCAGGAAACTATGAATGTAGGTCTATTATCATTTCTAGTTTCGATTTGGTTTTAGTCATTTTAAAGTATTTTGACTTAGTTTTCCCCCTGTGTGGGGGGAAAAACTAACTGATTTTACACAAAAATAACAACGATCCGGCCCCTGGGCTAGGCTATAGCATACAGCAATATTCTGTGTGTATGTGTCAGAAGCCTGTTTATTTCATTCGTGTAGCCCACCATTAAATTATTAGTCAGATAATAGAATCCTATGTTGTTGACAAACCACAAGTGACTGAATAAAACAGCGTGCATCACATCAAACATATCCACAATTGTACTTTACCAGGCAACGAACAAGCGACAGTATGAAAAAAAAAAGTATGCACTCACTAACTGTAAGTCGCTCTGGATAAGAGCGTCTGCTAAATAACTAAAATGTAAATGTAGAACACAAAAAGACAGCATGAACAAAAACATATATTGTCTCATCTTCGCTCCATATTTCCCTCGCAGCACGTTTCTTACCTGGCCTGCGCCTCGTCCAGGCTTTCGTCTGTGATGGCCATGATCTGTTGTAGAATATCCCCAATGTCTTGTTGCGGTTGACCGAGCTGTTTCCTAACCGAGTCGCCAACGTCGCCTTGCGATAACCCGCCGAGTCCGGCGAGACCCGCCAGCATTCGCGTCTGATCATCCATAGCTACTTTCAAAGAAACCTCGCTTCTTTTCTCACAATCGAATACACACAATTAGCCAGATAGCTAGCAAACAATGAAACCCCCAGCGCAAATCATACGCCACTGGCTGATAGTAATTAATTACAGCCAGCTACTTAACCTAAAAATTAAAATTCCAAAGCAGTTCCACATTCATAAACGATTTGTGCTGCTCGCCGATGTCAATAACCACGGTAAGCTAGCGAATAAATGCTACTAGCTAAGCAACTGGCAAGCTAGCTGTGTAGCCCTAAGAAACATACAGGGAAAAAAAGCAACGGACACATGCACTAACTAGGGAGCTGGCAGACAGCGCCTCACGCTAAAACAAGAAGAAAAGCGTTCTGTCCGGCGAATAAAATATGCATTCAAAATAATGCAAAAATAAAGACAAAACAAAATGTGCAAACACCTTGCTAGCTAGATGCATACATCAAGAATCACACTTGCAGTGGTTCAAAGGGGCTTATCAAAACAGAGCATTATTTTCCCAGACTGGAAAAAGCTGCGCGAGGACCAGTGTGCATCGTTCACAGAACACCAGCTCGCGCTAGCTAGTGTGGCTAATTACCAAATTAGCTAGCTAAGTAGCCAGTTAGCTTGGTACTTCAAGTGCAGAAAACAAACTCGTAAAGAAAATAGCTAAAATACTATAATTTGAACGCAATAACACTAGCTATGCAAATAACAGGCAAAATATGTGTGAATGTGTAACAATACTAGCGCAAGTAACTAACGGTAGCTAGCTAAGTTAATTAAAAGTGGCTAACGATGTTAGCGAGGACCACAATGCTAAAGCTCAAAACATAGCTAGCTAGATTGATGTGATAAAATATATTCACACCATCGATGAACACAACAAATTGACATAAATTCCGACATGTATGAAAGATGCTACTAGTTTAACAACGACCTGGCTGTAATAGTTATATAAGATATGTTACTTTCCTTCTAGTTTGGACATGTCACTTTTCCTCACATTATCAGTTCGAGAAAAAGTTTCGAAACGTTATAAGTTTTTTACGAACGTAATCCAATTGCCATATGAGGAAATGTCAGTCTGATATTTTAGTTCCTTTGTTTTTGAACCACTGTTGAGCCACATCACCTGACATTCAATTGCCATTCATGCGTATGCCTAAACAGTGTTATCCACTGCCCAAGGCTGTCAATTGGCATTCTAGGTTCTGTCCATTTATTTTGAATATTTTAGTGACTTAAAACATAGCAGCCTCTTCGCTACAGTTAGTGATGCAAAGTCTTAACCTAATGGCACAGTATACAAACCAACTTTTGACGGGCAATCAAGGGTTGGTCTTGACATCAGATGGACCCATGCATTGTTGCCTCATGGACTGGTAAGGTCAGTTGACCAATTGTAATTAGTAGTGTACGTTTCCCTTTCCATGTCAAGATATAATAAATAATACTAATAATAATATGCCATTTAGCGAGACGCTTTTATCCAAAGCGACTTACAGTCATGCGTGCATACTTTTTGTGTATGGGTTGGTCCCGGGTATCGAACCCACTACCATTGGCGTTACAAGCGTCCGTGCTCTACCAGCTGAGCTTACAGAGGACCCACCAAGATCACCTCAACCCTGAACTGTCAATCGATTGAATTACCACCACGCTCCACCCATTGACCAAATCAATGACCTGACTCACACAGTAACTGGGACCAATATTGAAGCATCTTATAATTAGTCTACTAAAAATGAGTTCTGTCAAATTGGATCAAATCACACCATCAAGTAGCCCACTATTAAACAGAAGGACGTATTCAGAAACATCCAATGAATTAAACATTCTATCTTATGTCTTTTAGTGTGAGGAATATGGACAGCACAGATTCATTTTTTTTTCTGCAAACGTGGACGATTTTGCTGCCGTTTATCACTCAGATGAGAGAGCAGCTCCGCTAGATGAATTGGAGACTGAATAGACATGGAGAAGGCTGGCTGCCGTGCTGGAATGATGGGTGTGCACGCCACGAAGGGGAGTGCATGGTACAAAACTTCCCGTGGATTATGCTGACGCTCGGCACATCCCTCTTCTGCAGTCTATGCCTAATCAATCTGAAGTTAGAGAAGGGAGAGGGGGTAGAGTTCATAAAGATCTGGCCTAACAGGGAGAATCATCTTTACAGCACGACAGGCATTTACGCATCAGAAGTAGGCCCAGGCCTTTTATGAGTCACAATTTTTTGGGGTCCATTTACAAACTCTATATTGTAAGACTAATGTAAACAAGTGATGTAAACAAATCTAAAATAAACTATACATGATCAATAACTAATGAGCTAATCCATATTTTGTATCTAGTTCACTACTGTATTTTCCTCTTTATAGCCTGTTTGTTCTGTGAATGTGTGTTTCTTTCTTCAGTGCCGGAATATGTGACTTGACTTCTTTCAATTTGTAAGCAGGAGATGCCCTCTCTCTTTCTCATCCCACAAGCACCCAGCCTTATTTTCATCTAAATAAGAATCGATCTCTTGCCGTCCACCACCCTCCCTCCGTGACTCCCCAGCGCTCACGGTCACAACCCCACTTTTCTCCCACTCCTCCTGTCCTTTCTCTCATTCTCACCATGCAACCCCCCCCCCCCCCCCCCGCCATGCAAGAACAGCCCACAGAAAATACATGTTTGTAAAACAGCAATAAATAAAATCAAATATCATGGTGATTTGACTCAATTGGTGCAGGACACCATTTCTTATTTGGTGGTCAGAATTTGAGCCCTTCTGATTCCTTTTACACAGTTTCTTAAAGCTGACATTTTTTCTTAGAAATCAGACATCACACTGTTCATGCAAGTGTAACCCTATTTACTGTTAAACTTTTATCTCTGAGGGAACATTCCTCATCGACTTCGGGGCCAGGTTCAGTTGTTAATGTTTCTCCCGGTAAGAGGAAGAGGCAAGACACAACCATATAGCATGAAAGATGGTGAGAGAAGACTTAAGAGGTGATAGTGAGAGTGAATGAGATTGAAAAACGGAAGAAGGGGGGTTGTGAAACACTTGGCATAATGTCAGGCCTTCGTTCTGCGTCAGTGACCCTGTGAGAGGAGAGGGAGGGAGTCACTATGAGGTGGGGGAGGGGCTTCCTCGCTGATGGACAGAGGAATAGACATAGCAGTGCTGGAGGAGAGAAAAGAGGACTGAATCTCTAGACAAAACAGAAAAGTTTGGGGGATAAGAAAGGGACAGGGAGTAAAGTATTATACATATGATACAAGGGTGTGTGTTGTGAGAACGAACAAGTTGTGTGTAAAGAGAATTCTTCCCCTTGTTACACACTGAAACCAAGAGATGTTTCAAAAGGAGTTGGGATGGAATAACAGTTCATATTTCTTTGTTTATGAAGGGTTAAAATCAAATACAGGATTGGACCAGGTTTTAAACCAACTGATTCAATGGTCAGAAAGGACAAGACAAATTCAGATAATTACTGCTAATAATAATAATAATAATAATGTAAAAATCATACAGAAGAACATTTAAAAAAGAAAAACAGACAAGAATGTTCAGGAAAAGAAAGGAAAGCTGGTATCTTACAAATTAGCCTCAAAAGACATCTACTGCAGGTGAATATTTTCTACATATTTTACTGTAGGTGAATATTCATAAACTACTTAAATAAAAGTGCTAGCTGTGCCACTAGAGATCCTGATTCGAATCCAGGCTCTGTCGTAGCCGGCCGTGACCGGGAGACCCATGGGGCGGCGCACAATTGGCCCAGCGTCGTCCAGGGTAGGGGAGGGAAAGGCCGGCAGGGATGTAGCTCAGTTGGTAGAGCATGGTGTTTGCAACGCCAGGGTTGTGGGTTCCATTCCCATGGGGGGCCAGTATGAAAAATAAAAAAAATAATGTATGCACTCACTAACTGTAAGTCACTCTGGATAAGAGCGTCTGCTAAATGACGTAAAATGTAAAATGTAAAGGGCGATATCGCCCTCTGGTGGCCAACAGCATACATTCTGTAGGGAGAGCGAGGCCTCCGTCCCAAATGGCACCCTATAATAATATAATATAACCTATATAGAGTCATATTTTTGACCAGGGCCCATAGCACTCTGGTCAAAAGTAGTGCACTATATAAGGAATAGGGTGCCATTTGGGAGGACCCCATAGTATAGTGGTGGAATATAATTAGAATAGATAGAAAGTTATGGCAGAAATAATCCACATTTATCCCATGAAGGAAGATACCAGACTATTATTTACAAACACAACCACACAAGGCACCACAGAGAACAGCTAAGTCAGGGAGCCATGGATACAGAGTTAAGACATGACATCAATACCGGAGACACCCAAGAAAAAACCAGACTGATCTTTCTCCTATTGGTCATTAATTGAGCGAACCTGGACGAGACCAAAGGTAACAATACAATCTGTGCTATTAAAATGTGTGTTTTGTCCTGCTTGTACAAAGCCAGAATTCAGTCTGATTCGTTTTTTCTTTTTTGCCATGAAAAATCAAGTATGGTAGTATCCTGACACTGAATTGTGACAACCCTAAGAAAGAGGTACTAGGATGATACGGTGGATGATGCGTTGGTTGATACAGAGGATAGGGGTCCTGCCAGTAGATCCCTGACCGGGTCAGAGGGAGATCCTGGAATCCCCCATCAGCCGCTGATGGGAGGAGATATCATAGGATGTAGACACTTAATACATGATCATAACAAATACAGTGCAGAGCCCACATTGTTATGTTACAGCCTTATTCTAAAATTGATTAAATTGTTTTTCCCCCCCTCATCAATCTACACAATACCCCATAATGACAAAGCAAAAACAGGTTGAGACATTTTTGCACATTTATAAAAATAAATGAAATGAAATGAAATCACATTAACATAAGTATTCAGACCCTTTACTCAGTACTTTGTTGAAGCACGTTTGGCAGTGATTACAGCCTCAAGTCTTCTTGGGTATGACGCTACAAACTTGGCACATATGTAGTAGGGGAGTTTCTCCCATTCTTCTCTGCAGATCCTCTCAAGCTCTGTCAGGTTGGATGGGGAGCGTCGCTGCACAGCTATTTTCAGGTCTCTCCAGAGATGTTAGATCAGGTTCAAGTCCGGGCTCTGGCTGGGCCACTCAAGGACATTCAGAGACTTGTCCCGAAGCCACTCCTGCGTTGTCTTGGCTATGTGCTTAGGGTCGTTATCCTGTTGGAAGGTGTACCTTCGCCCCGGTCTGAGGTCCTGAGTGCTCTGGAGCAGGTTTTCATCAAGGATCTCTCTGTACTTTGCTTCGTTCATGTTTCCCTCGATCCTGACTAGTCTCCCAGTCCCTGCCGCTGAAAAACATCCCCACAGCATGATGCTGCCACCACGCTTCACCGTAGGGATGGTGCCAGGTTTCCTCCAGACATGACGCTTGGCATTCAGGCCAAAGAGTTCAATCTTGGTTTCATCAGACCAGAGAATCTTGTTTCTCATGGTCTAAGAGTCTTTAGGTGCCTTTTGGCAAACTCAAAGCGGGCTGTCATATGCCTTTTCCGTCTGGCCACTACCATAAAGGCCTGATTGGTGGTGCTGCAGAGATGGTTGTCCTTCTGGAAGGTTCTCCCATCTCCACAGAGGAACTCTGGAGCTCTGTCAGAGTGACCATATGGTTCTTGGTCACCTCCCTGACAAGGCCCTTCTCCCCCGATTGCTCAGTTTGCCTGGGCTGCCAGCTCTAGGAAGAGTCTTGGTGGTTCCAAACTTCTTCCATTTAAGAATGATGGAGGCCACTGTGTTCTTGGGGACCTTCAATACTGCAGAAAGGTTTTGGTACCATTTCCCAGATCTGTGCCTCGACACAATCCTGTATCGGAGCTCTACGGACAATTCCTTCGATCTCATGGCTTAGTTTTTGCTCTGACCTGCACTGTCAACTGTGGGACCTTTATATAGACAGGTGTGTGCCTTTCCAAATCATGTCCAATCAATTGAATTTACCACAGGTGGACTCCAATCAAGTTGTAGAAACATCTCAAGGATGATCAATGGAAACAGGATGAACCTGAGCTAAATTTCGAGTCTCATAGCAAAGGGTCTGAATAATGTAAATCAGATATTTGTTTTTCAATTTGAATACAATTTCAAAAATCCTGTTTTCGCTTTGTCATTATGGGGTATTGTGTGTAAATATACTTTTTAGAATAAGACTAACGTAACAAAATGTGGGTCTGAATACTTTCCAAATACACTTTAAAACACAACAAAGATAATATACTCAAACACAATTAACATGATTTTCCTGTTTTTCAATATTTCCACTATGAGGTCAAAATAACACTGAAATTGTTAAAATTATGATAACACCCTTCTTGTAAGAGCTGTTTGAAAAGCCAGGAATTTCAGCCCGTTCAGGTGGGATGGAACTTTTGGCCCACATCATGACTTCACAAGGTGATCTGCTTATAACAGACCAATGACTGTTCATCTGGGTAAGGGGGTGGGCTTTAAACCATCCTATCAGGGCTGTGTATGTAAATATCTTCAAATTTGCTTCCTTACACCCACACGATCAGATTGAGCATTTCAACAGCCCAGTCTGGGCTATGGGATTTAAATAATTCACTGTGATGATTTAAAAATAAAAATAAAGAGTGCATGGGGGCTTTAATATAAGAAAATAGTGTTCAGCAGGGAGAAAACGCTTTGAAACAGAATGAAAGGGGAAGGTACTACCTAAATCTAAACAGATTTTAATTTCCTGTTGCAAACGTTCTGCTACGTTCTGCCCTACTGAACACGACCCTGAGAACCACTACACCCATCCATCCAGTAAGATATGTCCTTACCCAATCTCCTGCTTGTCTCCTTCACCAGTAGCTGAGACTGTTCCTGTATGGACAGCAGCTCCCTGACCATCTTACACTGGGTGTCCATCTATGGAGGAACATAGCCATTTTTTAATTACATGTAGAGCTAGCAAACCACATTTTAAGAGGGTGATGTGAGCGTTTCACAACTTGAACAGTAATAAAACGCCGGCCTTCGATATGTGCCCATCTTCAACAACAGCCAGGGCCTCTTCGTGGTTGAGGCAAATAAACGCTCGGGCTATGGCTGGGCGATATGGCCAAAATATCATACACTATTTAAAAATTGTTTTATTGTATTTTAGGTTTTTGAATAATACAATTTCTAAACATGCTTTATGAGTAGTGCATGACTCTAGCAACACATACATTCTAAGTGTTTTAATGGGGCTTTCTCCATTCTGATTGTTTTATACTGTTCAATCAAAAATATACTGTTCACACAAAAAAAAAATGTATGCACGCATGACTGTAAGTCGCTTTGGATAAAAGCGTCTGCTAAATGGCATATTATTATTATTTGTTTGTCAGTGTTTCCCAGTGGACCCTAATTAGCTTTTTTACTTGATGTAGCTAAAATATTAATGTGTTGCCTATTCCTCTCTGATTTAGAAGATACGGTTCTACAAACAACATGTTGATCTAGGCCTACACCATCACTGGTATCAGGCTGTATTAGCTAGCTACGTTTAGCTAGCTGGCTAGCTTGCCAGCTGATTAGCATCAGCGACTAACACGATTTATTTTCGCCACAACTCGCTAAAAAAAAAGCCAAACTAGCTGTTTGCAGACACTAAGATACAGCAACTAATAGTGTAATTATAGAACGCTTGTTGATTTATATTAAGAAGCAAAGTGGAAAGCAGCATCGTTGTCACCAACATCTTGTTGCACCTGCAGTGTTGACCATGCAGACTGTCACTGCGAGTGAACGGCTAGTATTTGAACTTGTGACACGCGGTAGAGCAAAAACTGCTCTCCTTGAGTGACAATGGGCTGGGTGTGTGTGGAAGGAGAGAGAAGACTCAAGTAGAAAACGGAGTAAACTATAAAAACGGACATTAAACACGCCGGAGTAGAGTAACTTTTAAACAAACCCAACATTTAAATACTGTTATACAAATGTAAGCTAAAGACCCAAACCAGTCCGTGCATAAATACCAGTATATAGACAAATACAGTATACCGCCCAGCCCTAGCTCGGGCTATTAATGGACGTTTTATGTTAGATACATAAAGGGTGTGATAAAAATTTAGAAAAATGAATTGCTTTACCCTAAAGGCAAGTATGGACACTGTTCACAGACACATTAGCTGTCCAATTATTTCTTGCACTGCAGCTACCATCTTTTACTTTCTGAGCATGGGACATGACACTGATGGGGTGAATCTTCAAATGTTCAATTACTTGTAGGTTCCCACTGACATAAATGTTTGACTAAGTGAAAATGTGACTTAAATGGAAGTTAAGATATGCCCAATATAATATTTTCATAAACACCACAGGGCTTTTTCCTGGACACATAAAGCCAAATCCTGGACTGCAAAAATTATTTCAACAGAGATTCTCCATTGAGCTTGCTTTTTAGTCAAGGACTAGGCCAAATCTGTGTCCAAGAAACCGTTCCCAAGTAGTTTAATACTAGTTTGTCCGTCTTACCACCATGTCCATGGTGGACAGTATGGGCTGCTGTCTGCAGAGCAGGCTGTGGTAATCAGGTTTGTTCTGGATGAGCTGGCTCTGTGAGGACTGGGCCAGGCAGCTAGGGTCTAACGTCACCCCCTTCTCCTGGCCCTGCTCCACTCGCCTGTAAAGGGAAAGAGAAGATATACTGACACAGTTACACTAGGCAAAAACCATGGTCCTAAAATGGGCTGTAGCCAACTCTTGTATCGTTACCATGCCATACTGTACAATGAACAAACACAGTTCTTGGCTAAAGCCCAAATAGGACTGGAGCACCAGGCATATGAGAAGAAAAATCACTTTATTGACAACCTGAAACTTGGAGCATGGGGAGTGCGGAACGAGAGTGGGCGAGTGCGGAACGAGAGTGGGCGAGTGCGGAACGAGAGTGGGCGAGTGCGGAACGAGAGTGGGCGAGTGCGGAACGAGAGTGGGCGAGTGCGGAACGAGAGTGGGCGAGTGCATGTAATTTGTATGTGTGTGAATGTGCTCACCTGGCCAATTCTTCAGCTTTACTCCGGTGCTTGTCTAACAGGGACTCCCAAGATGCACTCTCAGCCTGCAGCCTGAATCACACAGGCGGGATAAAAATATACAATCTTTATTCATTGCACACACACACACACACACACACACACACACACACACACTGACGGGGAAGTCAGTTACCTGTGTATAGCCTTCCTGGTCTGCTCCATGGTATTCTGCATTGCAATGTCACTAGCGAGAAAGAGAGACAGTCAAAAAGGAAGCCATAACTGATGACTGAATGAATACAGAAAGGGCTGAACTAGAAATAAAGGACCATACAGAAGAATGACAGCCCTTTTTCTCTAGGGCTGTGCCGATACCAGTATCGCAATATTTTTCCATTGCAAAAATGAAAACATGAATCATGCCAAACTCTTTGGTCCTTTAAAAACCTGCTGTATGTGAAATATTATGTGCTGTAGCTTGGGGGAAACATGTAACTCTGGATGACAACATGATGCTGCTTGTTTCCAACATTAGGGTTGTTTTCCTAAAGAAGTTGAATCCGCTTCGGGTTTTGTTTCCTTGCCATGATACTGACGAGTATCGCGATACTGGTATCGTCCCATATTAAAGGGTGAGGAAAAAGTCAGTGCTGGAATAGAAAGGGCAAAATAGACTGTTCAGGAAAAAGCTAAGTATGTTTGTTTACGGACGCGTGTTAAGTCAGTGAACAAAATGAGGTTGAGGGCTGTGACTAGAGACAGCATTACCTGGCTGTGCTAGTGGGAGGTTGCTGACACGGAGGCTCACTGCGTAGGTCTTTGGCAAGGCAACACCACCCCTTCTGTACAGCCTCCACTGAAACAGGGAAGAGAACGGTAGTAACGAATTATGTTAACACTATCAGACAACACTTATGCCTAGTGCACTGCACACAGCTTGAGCTCCATTAAAAAAATACAACACCGAACCAGTAGGGGGCAGAGGTAAACATTGGTTGTTTTTTTGCCGGATGTTACAATCCAAAACCCCTACTTATTTGATAGACGTACAAGGATCCTACCAACCTTGTGTCTGAAGTGACTCTAAACTGGCGTTGGGTGTCGTGCTCAGTGAGTCTTGTAACTTCTCGACTGCCAGCTGGAGACAAAGAGGAGTGGATGGGACACACAGAAAGTCAGCTAAATTGTCAGCCAGGATCACATAGATGTTGAAATAACCTACAGGTTGAAGTTAACCTGACCTTCAAAACACACACCCCTAGTGAATTCTAATCACTTAAACGTACCCTCATAGAGGCCTCCATCAGTTTCTCCAGCCTCTCCTCCTCTGGTAGGGATTGGCTGATTGACCTGCATAGAGCTGGATGAGAGGCCATTTAGACAGAAGCTTGGCGTTTACAGGTTACAAGAGAACATTTTGTAAATCACTTAGCCCTAATTGTGCCTCCTTCCCTTACTGCCATTCACTGTTGTTTAGGGTCAACCTGGGATAGGTGGCTGACTCTAGCCATAGCTCGGAATGAGTATATGTTTAACGTCTCAAAACGTAAGTAAACAATACTCTCTATCCGACCGGACGCTCTGGCTAGAATGTCACCCATCCCAGACACCACAACCAATGTTTAAGATATTGAAAAATACGGGTTTCGGGTCTCACTCTGGTTGGTGTTGGGGAGGGCAGGGAGAGAGCGTCGGCCCCTGGTTGACCTCCTCCAGGATTTCCTTCGCGTTCTGCTGGGGCTCAACGATCGACCCTCTGTTATAACACACCCCCTCAGGGTCCCTTCCCTGCCCCTCTCCTCCAGAACACAGCTCCAGAGCTGGCTCCATCTGTACCTCTGTTGTTTCTGACATCTGGGTATTGGTGGTGGTGGAGGCAGGAGTGTGTCTGTGGGGAGATTTGGGGTGAGGAGCTGCTGGGCTTGGACTCCCAGGGCAAAGTCTTTTGAGTCCTTGCTGAGGGTTTTCTTCTTGGTGGACCTTGATCAACAGACAAAATGAGAGTGGGCTTTTAGATCATTCGTATGTTATCGTCAGTGGTATGCTAACTTCATCAGCTTGCTACCATTTTATTAAGGTTATGAATATTATAGTGGCCCTTATGTGCAACCAAAAACGCCTAGACCACAACACAATCAGCTGTTGAGTGTCTTACCTTCTTCTTGTGTTCAGCAGAGCTGTCGCAGCTGCTGATGACATCAATAGAAAAAGAGGTAGAGAAAGATCAACACAACCACGTGAGCATTGTTTATGTTCAAATGGCTAGTTAGCTGTCTATCAACGTGGATATCACTAGGACAACTTTAAAATAGGCGTATTATTGCCGGTGTTAGCTAGCTAACGTTAGTAGCTAACGTTAGCCGGGCAGTGACGGAGGTTAACGTTAGCAAGCTCCTCCAGTCCTTTGATGGAAAACTCAATATGACCCACTGAGATAGCACGTTAATTCCACCCAATTCTTCACAGCAAAGCAGTGAACTTCAGAAAAACTTTCAGTAACGTTATTAACTAAAAAGATACAAACCTTTCCGATTGCTTTCCAGAATTCATATCCGCCATTTTTCTTTTAAAAAATCTGCCCGCGCACAAACAAAGTCGGCCACTCCCATTTACAGATATGCATGTCTGGAAATGTAGTGTTGAGCGACGTGGACCCCAGCAGCATCTTTGGACTACTTAGGCTCTAGCTACCATTTCGGTTTTTTTTGGGGGGGGGACGAGTTGCGTTCTACTCCTCTCAAGATAACAACCAGATGGTTACCATAATTCAGTTTTTGAAACAACCAATCGTTTTTAGCACAGTTTGGCGCCAAATGGAATCTGAGTTGGGCCCTGTTATTATATTGAACAAAAATCTAAACGCAACATGCAACAATTTCAAAGATTTTACTAAGTTACGGTTCATATAAGAAAATCAGTCAATTTAAATAAATAAATTAGGCCCTAATCTATGGATTTCTCATGACTGGGAATACAGCATCTGTTGGTCACAATATTTTCACAATATTTTAAAAAAGATGGCGCTGACAGACATGGAAGCTCTGCTTCTAGCTCCTAAGCAACTTTGTAGACAAGCATTTCGCTACACCCGCAATAACATCTGCTAAATATGTGTATGCGACCAATAAAATGTGATTTGACACCTTTAAAAAAAAAGAAAATGGGCCTCAGAATGGGCTTCAGGATCTTGTCACAGTTTCTCTGTGCATTAAAATAGTCATAGATCATATGGTAGAGAAATTAACATTACATTCTCTGGCAATAGCTCTGGTGGACATTCCTGCAGTCACCATGCCAATTGCAAGCTCCCTCAAAACTTGAGACATCTGTGGCATTGTGTTGTGTGACAAAACTGCACATTTTAGTGTGGCCTTTTGTCCCCACACAAGGTGCACCTGTGTAATGATCATGCTGTTTAATGAGCTTCTAGATATGCCACACCTGTCAGGTGGATGGATAATCTTGGCAAAGGAGAAATGCTCACTAACAGGGATGTAAACAAATGTGTGCACATTTTAGAGAAATAAGCTTTTTGTGCTTATGGAACATTTCTGGGATCTTTTATTTCAGTTCATGAAACATGGGACCAACACTTTACGTTTATATTTTTGTTCAGTGTATATAGATCTATTGGTGGTACATACCACAGTCATCATGACATCATCCCACCTCTGTTGCCAGTGTAGTAATCTCATCACCAAAATCAACTACTAGATTTTAATCTGTCACAATAGATTGCCAGTGTAGCAAGCCAGGGTGCACCAGAAAATGTTACATTTTAGTCATTTAGCAGATGCTCTTATCCAGAACAACTTAAGAGTAGTGAGTGCATACATTTTCATAATGGTCCCCCGTGGGAATCGAACCCACAACCCTGGCATTGCGAGTGCCATGCTCTACCAAGTGAGCTACACGGGACTTAAAGTCCTCTCAAACACAAACATCAAGCAAAATGATCTGAAGGCTTTTCTTGTGGCCTCTCAACTTGACTTCCAGTTACAATGTTTACATGTATGCAGCTCACTCATCACCTTAAAAATATATGTTCAACCCCTATGTAGGTGTAGTAGGCAGTGTACTGCATAGGTAAATTGAACATCACAAAGTAGCACTTGACAAAAAAGCACCACTTGTATTTTTGGATCTTTTATAAGTCTGTAAGAGTTTTATCTTTTTACAAAATGAAGAAGAGAAAACAAAATGGAAAAAAAATCAAACACTTCGCAATTCTCTTGGAGAACGCCCTGTTGTGTGTGCGTTTCACATAGGCCGGCACACAATCTCAAACACCACACAATACTGCTGTTTTCTTGGCCTTCAGTGAGAGAGGGAGGGATAGAGAGAGGGAACGGGAAGGCAAGAGAAGGGGAAGTCTAACTAGACCTGGGTTCCAATAGGATTTATTTTCTTTCAAATACTTTAGCTGCACTTGTTTCAGCTTGCCTGGTGCAACGGAACAGTCCCAAAAGTGCAAACCCTGCTTATCTGGAGCTCCTGGGGCAGGATCAACCAAAACCCTCAAAGTATTCGAAAGGAAGCATATACCATTTGAGCCCAAGTTTATCTCTAGCATAAAAGAAATCGAATTTGAAATACATTAGTGAAGAAGGGGAACAGAGGGACAGAGCAGAACAGTAGAGAGATGAGGTAACATTTAGGGGTGTGGTGCAGCAGTACTGCGTGTCTGCCTGACATGCCTAGTCCATCTCCTCAGCTGTCTTGTGCGTCACATCAATCTTTTCCTCCCTCCACAAGTCTCCTCAATCCTCTCCCTTTACAGTTTGGTTGCTGAGGGCAGCGGGTTGCTCAGGGCAGCTGTTGACATGGCGATTCAGGAAGGCAGCCTCAGGGTGCCTTTGCCCAGCAGGAACTGCAGAACGCGGTCGACCAGCAGGGCAGCGACAAAGTCAACCACCAGGACCTGGGCGATGACTAGCTTGAACTGCAGGGGAGAAAAAACATAAGAAGTTATAATAATTGATATGTCCTTTTGCACCAGTTAAGCCTAGTCCTGGACTAAAACGCACTTAAATGGAGAACTTCAAAACATATTATTATAAACTTTGTTAACTCATTATAAAGGTTAATACATGCTTATAACAAGTTATAAAGAGTTACATCAAAACAATCACACAAAATGTGTGTTAAAGTACAGATGTTGGATCTTAATTTGACCCGTTTCGTTGCAGGAGGATAATAATCCTGCAGCAGGATGATTTGAACATTTGAAGAAATATTTAGAATCACCACCAGGGGGCAGCTGGAAGCGGTGTTTGTATACAATGCAATAGCGTACCTACAATGTACCTTAGACTGCAGGTTCACTGGGTGCCAGTTCAAGTAGCCTATGCAGGCTATACGCAGGCTACAACACGTATCGTAAGAATTCTTATGTGGATTATAATACATTTACATATTTGTAGGGGGCAGATGTATTTTTCATTAGGGAAAAACAAACAGTAGCCTATTACCGTTTTTCACACCTTTCATTATATGACAATGGATAGGCTAACGGGTAGCCTACAGAATATCGACAAATATAGCCCCACTGGTCCGAATGACTCGAATGCCCCCGTATGGAGAAACAGAGAACTGCGGCTTTTCAGTGAACATAACTAAATTACTATAAATCAAGAGGCTCATTTTTATTTCCTAATGAACAGGACATTTTTCCTGGACAAAAGAGTGATCAAATTAAGATCCGACGTCTGTATAATATATGCTGACCTCTGTTGGTATATCTACAAGAGCAAACTGCTCGTTGAATTCCGGCGAGGATCCTGAGAGAAGGCCCACGATGGCCAGACCTGACAGGGCAATACTCCACAGCAGCGGTCTGTTCTCACTCAGAGACTCCATGAAAGGATGACCCTAGAAAAACACACAGCATTAGTGGAATACACGTGTATTATTCAATGACGGTTAGGATAAGTACTGAAGAGTCTATCCATTGTATAGAAAATGGGCCACATTTTAAATTAGGTATCCCTTATATAGGCTTAACGAAGCATTCATAAGGCCTACATAGAAGCCTCACAAATATTTTATATGCAAAGAAAGGCCTTGTAAAGGGATCATGAAGGCTTCATTAAACCTAAGATATGGAGGAGGAAGAGCAGTACCTTGTAGTTAATGGCAAAGGTAGCCATCTGCATGGCCATAGACATTATGTACACAGTGCTGTTGATGAGACTGGGCTCAAACTCTTTGTACAGGTCCGCAAACCGCTCCGCCCTAAAAGATAAAGGACAACAGACACAGAGGATTATGGGATACTCAGACTGGTTGGAAACAGACACTGTCAATAATGTACGGTTAGTACTGTGTGGACGCAAATACAGTATCAACAAGTCTGTAGGTATCTATAGTGTGTGTGTGTGAGCACGTGTGTATGCATGGGTGTGTACCTTGGAGGACTTCTGCTCTGCGCTCCTTTGTACAGGTATACCAGACTACAGAAGTGAACAGCAAACTGCAGCAGCACTGTCAGAACAGTGTACAGGTTGAATATGTTTGGTAAGGGCCGCTCTTTAGACAGAGTCTTCAGGGGCTGGACAGGACAAGAGAAAAGAGGACGACAACTTAAAAGGGCATATTTCACATATCCCCTGTATGATCCAGTTCCTGGAGCCTTTGGTGCCCTGATCCGCGCTATAAAGCATGTGTGAAACAGAAATGAACCCATGGCTAAAACGTATCCTGGACCTGCGTTTGTAGCGGGTCCAAGATCCAGGACCAGAGTACCACGCGAGTCGCGTGGAACATTTTGCCCGTTGTCAACAAGCTAGCTTGCTAATGTCATGTAGAATGTGCGTCTTGCTAATCGCACCCTGAAACGGTTATTTTCCAAGTCTTGTGAAAGCAAAATGTATTTTTGTAAAATTCTCACAAACGCTCCAGGAAAACAGACCAGGACACTGAATTTAATGTGAAAACACCCTAAATTGAGTTAAAGACTTGAAATTACACCTGTTAGCATTTACATTTTTAGTCATTTAGCAGACGCTCTTATCCAGAGCGACTTACAGTTAGTGATTAAATTTTTTTATTTTTATTTTTTATTTTTTATACTGGCCCCCCGTGGGAAGCGAACCCACAACCCTGGCGTTGCAAACGCCATGCTCTATCAACTGAGCTACATCCCTGCCGGCCATTCCCTCCCCTACCCTGGACGACGCTGGGCCAATTGTGCGCCGCCCATGAGTCTCCCGGTCGCGGCCGGCTGCGACAGAGCCTGGATTCGAACCAGGATCTCTAGTGGCACAGTTAGCACTGCGATGCAGTGCCTTAGACCACTGCGCCACTCAGGAGTATAAACACTAGGGTTACATAATAATATAGTTTCCTACCGATCACAACTACATGCATGTAGTAAGTACACACTGGTTCTTTCTCAATACTCTTTACTCTTTCCTCGATTCCTTATGTCCTTTCCTCCTAAAAAAAATTATGCGGGAAGTGAGGAGAGGATTCAAGAAAAATAAACGCTTCCCTCTGACGTTTTGAGGAGGCAGGGAGGAGAGGACACAAGGGATTGAAGGAGGAAAAACGATCAAGAGAAAGCACTACCGTGTTTTTCCCTCCACGTGACCTCTCACCTTTGACCTGGAGATGAAGAGGAAACAGCCGGCCAATAGCAGGCCCTGTAGGGTGGCCTGGAAGTCACTGAACTTGACCCCCTCCAGGTAGAGGACTGACTGGCTGTAGGCCAGCACCAGGGCGTTCAACGCCAGGATCTTAAACATCTGTAGTGTGGTCACCAGCGTACAGCGGCCCTGCTTTATCACGTGGCAGACTGGGGAGGAGGAGAGATTATGAGGAGATGATAATCAGAGAGAGAGAGAGAAAGAGAAAAAGGGAGAGAGAGAGATTGCAGGCGTGTGTGTTCATTTGTGTTTGTATACAGTGTGGGTGTAAACAAAAACACACATTTTGTGTTGATTATGTGTGTGTTACTCACTGCACTGAATGGAGGACAATTTGGAGGTGAAGGGGGCAGCAATGGAGGCGTCTCCCAGCTTCACTACTTGTATCTGATCTTCTTCCAGCTCCTTTAATACTTGACTGATCCTCTCCTACAACAAAAGAAACATCAAATGGTTAACAACACGCACCCTCCCTACCCCCCCACACCCCAACACACACACACACACCACCTTCTGTGCGGCTAGCTGTTCCTCTCTCTGGGCCATGACCCTCTGCCTGGCTGCCCTGGAGGTCAGTTTGACCCCTGAGCTGGTGACCGGAGGTAGGGAGGGTCTGGAGTCTGCTGCTGGGGCCTCCTTCTCTTTGCCCCTCTTCCTCCTTTCAGGCATCCGCTCTGGGGCGTTGGCCAACAGAGCCACACCTTATGGAGGGAAGGGGGGAGAGGGAGAGGGAGGGGAGAGAGAGAATGGTCACAAAATGACTTCCACATAGCAACATTGTTTATGATAAGAGGATGGAATAAATGTCCCTACTGACACAAAAAGTTGAATTGAAGGTATCATGGTCTAAGACAGTTGTGTGCGTTAACGTTGCTGAATATTGTGCACAGCTTCGAGTGACCTCACCGATGTGGGCGTGTTTGAGTGCTCCGACATCATTGGTCCCGTCTCCGCACATCAATGTTGTATAGCCCAATCCTTTTAGACTAGTGATTACAAACTCCTGCAACACAATAACAATACCCACAGTTAGTACAAAATGACACCGAATAAAACTAGCCTCAAAATGTACCGTCAGTTCTTCAGTGAGTTGGTTGTACACAGAGTGTGCAAAACACTAAGAACGTCTTCCTAATATTGAGTTGCACCCCCCCTTTTGCCCTCAGAAAAGCCTCAATTCGTCAGGGCATGGACTCTACAAGGTGTCGAAAGCACTCCACAGGGTTGCTGGCCCATGTTGACTCCAGTGCTTCCCACAGTTATGACAAGTTGGCTGGATGTCCTTTGGTTGGTGGACCATTCTTGGTATACTTGAGCGTGAAAAACCCAGCAGCGTTGCAGTTCTTGACACAAACCAGTGCCCCTGGCACCTAGTACCATACCCCGTTCAAAGGCACTTAAATATTTTGTCTTGCCCATTCACCCTCTGAATGGCACACATACACAATCCATGTCTCAATTGTCTCAAGGCTGAAAAATATTTATTTAACCTGCCTCCTCCCCTTCATCTACACTGATTGAAGTGGATTTAACAAGTGACATCAATAAGGGATCAAAGCTTTCACCTGGATTCACCTGGTCAGTCTGTCATGGAAAGAGCAGGTGTTCATAATGTTTTGTACACTCAGTGTATGTGTAGCCTATTTTTAATTATCTAATACATTCATTCATTCATTACAACACCAAAAATCTAGGAAAATATGGACAATTGGAATTGAAAAGTAATCAAATCAAACAAAACTTTGACACGAAAATAGAATTCAGTGACTGTGTCTGAAATGGCACCCTATTTATTCTCTATGGTTCCTGGTCAAAAGTCGTGCACTAGAAAAATAATAGGGTGCCTTTTCTGACACAGCTAATGTCTATAAGGAGGCAAGAAGACTGACCTTCTGTTTAGGGCTGACCCGTGCGAACACCCGGACATGGGGCAGGAGGGCGTGGAGCAACCGCGTGTCACAGGTCAATCTGGTTAGCCCCTCCCCCGTCACACACAGATCATACTGATCGACCAATGAGGGGACGGATGGCGGGGGCAGCGGAACACACACACTGCCGTCTATAGACTCCCACTGCCACTCACCTGGAAGGAACAACGGCACAAGTGACCGTATTATAGTGCATTCTTAAAACAGCGACACACTACACCTGAGGTTAAATACATACATATTATGTCAAATAGTCTGAAGTACTTAAGGTGCGCTTGATTTGGTTTGCATATAATTCCATTGTACTGGGGCAAAGTAGATCAAGCGCAGCTCAAGTATAATATGCATTTGACCCAGGTCTGCAACACATGCACTGTCCACTATAGATCCCTTCAGTACAACAATCATATGGCTATATCATCAATGCATTAGTCTGTAGATTAGTCTAATATAGAGCTCTCCAACAACGTTCGCGGAGAGCTACCATCATGTATATTTTCGCTCCAACCCCAGCTGTAACTAACCTGATTCAACTTATCAACCAGCTAATGATTAGAATCAGGTGCACTAAATTAGGGTTGGAGCGAAAACCTACAGGACGGTTTTCGGATCAAGCGTAACTTGTCTCTTAGTGTGCCCTACCCTGGTTGGGTCTGGCCTGCAGTATGAGTGTGTGTTCCTTCTGGATGAAGTGGAGCTCTCTGGCCACATGGCACGCGGTAAGAGGGTTGTCACCTGTTATCATCACCACCTGAGGGAGAGATGGAGGAGAGGAGGGTTGTGAGTGAGCGCGTGCATGGATGTGCCTGATATTATTGTAGTAATTGTAATCTGAACAGAATCCTTATCAATACCGGTGTGTGTGTGTGTCTTTTCCTGCGAGTGAGTCTGTGAATGTGTGTGAGTGAGCGTGTGTATTCTGAGACAGCCTCCTCACGTGATGCGATGCCTCCTGGATCTCTTTGATGACAGCCTTGCTGTCGGTCTTCAGAGGACACGAGACGACCATGAAGCCGGCGAACTGCAGGTCACACTCCAGAGCATCACGAGTCACCTCCCGCACCTGCACAGAGAGCCACAAAGCAAGACCCTGTCAGCTAACCGCTTGGGTGAGGTTAATCTCGACAACCCAGAACTACGCCACTCTCTCTCTCAGCTGTGCAGCTGGGTTGTTGAGAGTATTGAAATAGTGTGCCACGTTAACTACGAGGCTTTCGGGAAACTCATCCCCTCACACAGAGCAGGACAGGACAGATAGGGGAGTTAGACTGGACAGATAGGGGAGTTAGACAGGACAGGGCAGGACAGGTAGGCGAGTTAGGCAGGACAGTTTATTAGGTACACCCATCTAGTACCGGGTCAGACCCCCCTTTGGCTCCAGAACAGCCTGAATTCTTTTGGGAATGGAAATGTTGCTCAATTAGTATCAAGGGACCTAATGTGTGCCAGGAAAACATTCCCCATACCCTTACACCACCAGCCTGTACCGTTGACACCAGCCAGGTTGGGGCCATGGATTCATGCTGCTTACGCCAAATCCTGACTCTGCCATCAGCATGACGCAACAGGAACCGGGATTCGTCGGACCAGGCAATGTTTTACCACTCCTCAATTGTCCTGTGTTGGTGATGGCGTGCCCACTGGAGCCGCTTCTTCTTGTTTTTAGCTGATAGAAGTGGAACCCGGGGGTCATCTGCTGCAATAGCCCATCCGTGACAAGGATCAACAAGTTGTGCGTTCCAAGACACCACTATTTTACTGCGCAGCTATTTGTCTGTTTGTGGCCCGCCTGTTAGCTTGCACGATTCTTGCCATTCTCCTTCGACCTCTCTCATCAATTAGCTGTTTTCGACCACAGGACTGCCAGTGACTGAATGTTTTTTGGCTAACAGGGATATTGGGATCCACAGTACTCCACTAATTATCAATTTCTCAACTCAATACTTATTTTATTCCCCAAAAATGTTTTCATTTACTTTTTACATAAGTGCACTGTCATGTAAGCTTTAAAATGGCTACGTTTTCACTCTGCCCCATGGAAAAATGTGTAGAGTTGCAGGATATTAGCTTTAAAACTGCAACAACAAAAATTATCTCTGCCACATGACAAAATGTTTAGAATTGCAGGAAATTTGCTTGAAAACAAAATGTTTTTCTCCGATGCCAACAGGTGGGCCTTCCAGGGCCCGAGACTTGGTTCGTCCAGCCATGCACTGCAGAAGTCATAGTAAAACTCCTTGTACGCCATTATCTCACTCGAGTTGTGTTCTGATTATGAGGGGGTCCCTGATGAATTTGCTATCACAAAAGGGTTCCCCGGCCACAAAAAGTTTGAGAAGCCCTGAGTTAGACAGGACAGGTAGGAGAGTTAGACAGGACAGGTGGAGTTACCTGTTGGTGGCTGAGGTGTCCGATCTCTTTGTAGCCCAAGGCCAGAACCCTGGCCCCTTCTCGGGTCATCTCCCTGTGTACCTGGTCATAGCTGGCTGGGCACTCTGAGAACTACAGAAACAAACAAATGGTTCGAACAATGGTATTGACACAAAGAAAGTGTAATAAGCAGGTTACAACTGCAGCAATGACGTATCTACTCAACACTGAGATAGTGTACTTGTATGTGAAGTGTAGTACAGTAGACGTGCATTATATTGACCATAAAGATATATTAAATTATACATTAAATGTCAGTGTTCTATTTAATTATATGATATTTACCATGTCCCTGAGTGTCTCTGGCGCTCCTTTGACAGTGGAGACATAGCAGAGGTCAGTGGAGCCCAGTTTCTCATAGGAGGCCAGGACGGACATCCTCTTCAGAGCACTGGCAAAGTGGAACCGCTGGTGGATCTTCAGGCCTGGGGTCTTTATACCCCGAGCAAACACCTTTTCATCTACACCACACAGAGAGAGGGGCAGAAGTATGGTCAGGAGGGTAGACATGATGTAAAAACATGGACACACACACACACTTTCACTTCTGGTGTACAAAGGAGGACACAGAGCAAAAAGCCTGAGGTGTACACACACACTACCTTTAGTGAGGGTCCAGTCAGCAGCAGTGAGCATGGCCTTCTCCAGGGGGTCGCCTACCAGCTGTCCGTCGTCAAGGGTAACCAGTGAGTGACAAGTAGCAACCACCCGATGCGTTTCCACTGGGATCTCTGACACAGGCATCACTTCTTTCCCTTCTCTGGAGGAGTTTAGAAAACGTTTACAAAACAATGTAAAAACTTGCTTCATATTCTTCCAAAGATTTTAATACGATTAAATACTGCTAAAAACATGTCAGTTGCTCTTTAAGTGTCACTCCTCAATATGACAATATTCACAGTATGATACCAGTACATAAGGGCATTGGTGGACACTTTGCTTAACCCAGACCATTACAATGCATTATGATGCCGTTATGAAGCCTTTAAAACGTCTTAATATCATCAGGGCCAGTCAGTCTGTGGACAAATTGCAACAAAGAAATGTATCATACTGAAAAATCTAAAAGAGAGTGTACCTGAGGCCTGCGACCCCCCGCACCACCAGATGGTCGCTGGTCAAGGTGCCCGTCTTGTCAAAGCAGCACACCTCCACCTTGCCTGCAAACGGGATCCTGAAGGGCTCAGTGCAGAACACATCTATGAAAGGGAGAAGCAAGAAAGGGATGAGTCAAATAGCAGAACAGTGAGGAGGACTAGCACCATTAAGTACTAATAACATATTACTATGACAGTTTCAGAACACATACATCCAAATACCCCCCCCCCCCCCCCCGCCCCCCATACACACACACTCTGTTGACTCACAGAGCTTGGCCAGAGCGATGAGGGATGTGTTGACTGCCAGAGACAATTCTATAGGGAGTTCAGGTGGAACCACGGAGGTCAGGATGAGAGTACACTCCAGGAACAACTTATACCGGTTCCTGCTCGGGTCCTTAGTCCCTACAGGGGAGAGCACACACAACTAACTATAAGCAGTAGTTACACACACAGAGAGAGCTATGCAGTATGTTCATTTTAAAAATGTATGCACACATGCCTGTAAATTGCTTTGAATAAAAGCATCTGCTAAATGGCATATTGTTATTATTATTATTCATAATAATAATATACAGTTATACTGTATGTAGTCATGAAAAATCTGCGAACCTCAGGGCCTATTTCAACAACTTGTTTTCTTACATTTTATAAAGGAGGAATTTGCGTCAAGACTGTCAAAATGTTCATAAATGTCTTAGTGAGTAAAATAATATTTCCCAAAATTCTGTCTTGGCTAATAAACTGCAGCCAAGATATAAACAAACTGTATAGTGGAGAAATGCTCTAAGTAGGACCAACTGTGCTTCTGCCTCTGCATTGCTTGTCCCATGGGGTTTTAGACTGGGTATCTGTGAAGAACTTTGTGACAACTGCTGACCTAAAAAGGGCTTTATAAAAGACATTTGATTGATTGATTTCATTGTATTGTTCACTGCATCTCTCACCTTCCACCCACACATAGCCAGCAGCAGCAATGGCGAACACCAGGAGGAAGAGGATGAAGATGAATGTTTCCAAGTTGTTGGCTGTCACCCTCTTCACTCCAAACAGGATGGTCCTCAGCAGTTTACCCTGTAGACAGGCGTGGTCAACAACACCAGGGTTGTATTCATTACTGAACACCGTAGAAAAACATTTTGCAACAGAAAATGAAAACAAGCGGTTCTTATTGGACAAGTTCAGGTAGTCAAGAGTAGCAGCCCCTCACCTGAGATGTATAGAATCCGGTTCTCAACACATAAGCCACACAGCCATTGTCCACAGCTGGAGAAAAAATGAAAAAGAAGAAATCTAACTATTATGATTTGCTCTTAGTGAGACAAGATAGATACAATCACTGAGGGCAGATTCAATCCATCTATTCTGAGGCCGAGGGAGATAACTGTTGAAACAAAATTGATCTAAAATATGGATTTTTTTAAAAATATTGATAAGAAAATATAGATTTTGAAAGTGCTTTCTAACTATAATTGTTCATCTCAAAGTGAACAACAACGCTGGACATTTCTGCCTTATGACAAGTTAATAATATACTGCATTAGGGTTGGGCGATATTTGGGTAGACCTCTTCTACGATATGCTGCTTCAAATATCGTGTTATCCGATATAATCGTTTTGCGCCATTAATGACTAAATGTTTCCAGACTGTGAAATGTTTGTGCTTATTTACAATATTATAGTCGCATTCTCATTAAATAATCTTAATGTGGTAAAAAAAATAAGGCTTAGTTAATTCATTTAAACATCATTTTCCACATATTGATACAGCCTAACTGATTTAACTGCAGTTTTGATTTGTACATTTCAAATAGAGTATAGTCTTGCACATCACGACATATCGTCTTGCACATCACAATATATTGTCAATGTTAAATATCCCGATATTCGACTTAATTTATATATCTGCCCAAGCCTATACTGCATAGTAGGTAGTAACTGACGTTTGAGTCCTACAGTGGCGCGGAGCGGGGGGCTGTGCTGCACCACCTTGGTCCCACCAGAGATGATGTGGAGGCGGGCATCACCATGCAGGTCCAGGACCCTCTCTGGGTCCAGATCCTCCACCGGTTCCTAAACACACAACATGGTGGAACTTCAAATTAAAAACACTACTTTTAAGGATTGATGGAGCCTATGATTTCTAAGCATATGATTTTGATAAATGATTTGTGAAGCATCTATGATATTCTATGCTCATGAAGTCTATGAATGATCTATAGTAACATTCCCATTGTTTAACAATCTATATTGTTCAGATAACAACCATGCAAAACAATGCAGTCTATCTAGTCTAGTATAGGACATGCTTCCCGTCTGTCTGACCTTCATCTGAGGAACAGACTCTCCCGTCAGCATTGCCTCGTCCACGATGCAGCGCCCTCTCAGCAGCAGCACGTCACATGGAACCAAGTTCTCCTGGGGCGAGCGGCCTGGGGGGGAAGAGAAAGACAGACGTACACTGTGTCAAACTGACGTGAGACGGCTTTTCACTGACAACAGCTCAGCGTTCAACACCATAGTACCCTCGAAGCTCATCACTAAGCTAAGGTCCCTGGGACTGAACACCTCCCTCTGCAACTGGATCCTGGACTTCCTGACGGGCCACCCACAGGTGGTGAGGGTAGGCGACAACACATCCGCCACGCTGACCCTCAAAACGTGGGCCCCTCAGGGGTGCGTGCTTAGTCCCTTCCTGTACTGCCTGTTCACCCATTAAGTTTGCCAACGACACAACGGTGGTATGCCTGATCACCGACGACGATGAGACAGCCTATAGGGAGGAGGTCAGAGACCTGGCAGTGTGGTGCCAGGACAACAACCTCTCCCTCAACGTCTCCCTCAACATCAGTAAGACAAAGGAGCTGATCGTGGACTACAGGAAACGGAGGGCCAAGCACACCCCCCTTCACATCGACGGGGCTGCAGTAGAGTGGGTCGAGAGTTCCTCTGTGTCCACATCACTAAGGATCTATCATGGTCCAAACACACCAACACAGTCATGAAGAGGGAACGACAACGCCTCTTTCCCCTTTAGGAGGCTGAAAAGATTTGGCATGGGCCCTCAGATCCTCAAAAAGCTCTACAGCTGCACCAGAGAGCATTTTGACTGGCTGCATCACTACTTGGCATCCGACCGCAAGGCGCTACAGAGGGTAGTGCGTACGGCCCATTACATCACTGGGGCATAGCTTCTTGCCATCCAGGACCTCTATACCAGGTGGTGTCAGAGGAAGGCCCAAAATTTTTTATTAAAATTCCATAGACTGTTCTCTCTGCTACTGCACAGCAAGCAGTAGCAATGCACGAAGCCTATAACCAATAGGACCCTCAACAGCTTCTACTCCCAAACCATAAGACTTCTAAAAAATCAAATGGCTACCCGGACTACCTGCATTGACCCTTTTTTGCACTAACTCTCTTGCACTGGACTCTACCCACACACTCACACAACACACACACTTTCAAACTCACCATATACGCTGCTGCTACTGTCTATTATCTATCCTGTTGCCTACTCACTTTACCCCTACCTATATGTACAGTACATAGCTACCTCAATTACCTCGTACCCCTGCACATCGACATGGTACTGATACTCCCTATACAGTGGGGGAAAAAAGTATTTAGTCAGCCACCAATTGTGCAAGTTCTCCCACTTAAAAAGATGAAAGAGGCCTGTAATTTTCATCATAGGTACACGTCAACTATGACAGACAAAATGAGTGAAAAGAATCCAGAAAATCACATTGTAGGATTTTTTATGAATTTATTTGCAAATTATGGTGGAAAATAAGTATTTGGTCACCTACAAACAAGCAAGATTTCTGGCTCTCACAGACCTGTAACTTCTTCTTTAAGAGCTCCTCTGTCTCCACTCGTACCTGTATTATGCACTGTTTGAACTTGTTATCAGTATAAAAGACACCTTGATTCCATGGGGTTTTAGACTGTTATGTAAACGGCTGGGGGCTTTATAAAGACATTGATTGATTGATTCATTGTACTGTTCACTGCATCTCTCACCTTCCACCCACACATAGCCAGCAGCAGCGATGGCGAACACCAGGAGGAAGAGGATGAAGATGAATGTTTCCAAGTTGTTGGCTGTCACCCTCTTCACTCCAAACAGGATGGTCCTCAGCAGTTTACCCTGTAGATAGGCGTGGTCAACAACACTAGGGTTGTATTCATTACTGAACACCGTAGAAAAACATTTTGCAACAGAAAATGAAAATAAGCTGTTCTTATTGGACAAGTTCAGGTAGTCAAGAGCAGCAGCCCCTCACCTGAGAGGTATAGAATCCGGTTCTCAACACATAAGCCACACAGCCATTGTCCACAGCTGCAGAAAAAATGAAAACGAAGAAATCTAACTATTATGATTTGCTCTTAGTGAGACAAGCTAGATACAATCACTGAGGGCAGATTCAATCCATCTATTCTGAGGCCGAGGGAGATAACTGTTGAAACAAAATTGATCTAAAATATAGATTTTTTAAAAAGATTGATAAGAAAATATACATTTTGAAAGTGCTTTCTAATTATAATTGTTTAATCTCAAAGTGCAAAAACAATGCAGGACATTTTTGCCTTATGACAAGTGAATAACATACTGCATTAGGGTTGGGCGATATTTGGGTAGACCTCTTCTACGATATGCTGCTCCAAATATTGCGTTATCCAATATAATCGTTTTGCGCCATTAATGACTAAATGTTTCCAGACCGTGAAATGTTTGTGCTTATTTACAATATTATAGTCGCATTCTCATTAAATAATCTTAATGTGGTACAAAAATAAGGCTTAGTTAATTCATTTAGACATAATTTTCAACATATTGACACAGCCTAACTGATAAAACTGCAGTTTTGATTTGTACATTTAAAATAGAGTATAGTCTTGCACATCACGATATATCGTCATGCACATCACGATATATCGTCAATGTTAAATATCACGATATTCAATTTAATCATATATCTTCCCAACCCTATACTGCATAGTAGGTAGTAACTGACGTTTGAGTCCTACAGTGGCGCGGAGCGGGGGGCTGTGCTGCACCACCTTGGTCCCACCAGAGATGATGTGGAGGCGGGCATCACCCTGCAGGTCCAGGACCCTCTCTGGGTCCAGATCCTCCACCGGTTCCTAAACACACAACATGGTGGAACTTCAAATTAAAAACACTACTTTTAAGGATTCATGGAGCCTATGATTTCTAAGCATATGATTTTGCTAAATGATTTGTGAAGCATCTATGATATTTTATGCTCATGAAGTCTATGAATGATCTATAGTAACATTCCCATTATTGAACAATATGGTTATCTATATTGTCCAGATAGACTGCATTGTTTTGCATGGTTGTTATCTAGTCTAGTATAGGACATGCTTCCCGTCTGTCTGACCTTCATCTGAGGAACAGACTCTCCCGTCAGCATTGCCTCGTCCACGATGCAGCGCCCTCTCAGCAGCAGCACGTCACATGGAACCAAGTTCTCCTGTGGCGAGCGGCCTGGGGGGAAGAGAAAGACAGACGTACACTGTGTCAAACTGACGTGAGACGGCTGTTCATTGACAACAGCTCAGCGTTCAACACCATAGTACCCTCGAAGCTCATCACTAAGCTAAGGTCCCTGGGACTGAACACCTCCCTCTGCAACTGGATCTTGGACTTCCTGACGGTCCGCCCTCAGGTGGTGAGGGTAGGCGACAACACATCCGCCACGCTGACCCTAAACACGTGGGCCCCTCAGGGGTGCGTGCTTAGTCCCTTCCTGTACTGCCTGTTCACCCATTAAGTTTGCAGACGACACAACAGTGGTATGCCTGATCACCGACGACGATGAGACAGCCTATAGGGAGGAGGTCAGAGACCTGGCAGTGTGGTGCCAGGACAACAACCTCTCCCTCAACGTCAGTAAGACAAAGGAGCTGATAGTGGACTACAGGAAACGGCGGACCAAGCACGCCCCCATTCACATCGACGGGGCTGCAGTAGAATGGGTTGAGAGTTCCTCGGTGTCCACATCACTAAGGATCTATCATGGTCCAAACACACCAACACAGTCATGAAGAGGGCACGACAACACCTCTTTCCCCTTTGGGAGGCTGAAAAGATTTGGCATGGGCCCTCAGATCCTCAAAAAGCTCTACAGCTGCACCATCGAGAGCATCTTGTCTGGCTGCATCACTACTTGGCATCCGACCGCAAGGCGCTACAGAGGGTAGTGCGTACGGCCCATTACATCACTGGGGCCAAGCTCCTTGCCATCCAGGACCTCTATACCAGGTGGTGTCAGAGGAAGGCGCTAAAAATTGTCAAAGACTCCAGCCATAGACTGTTCTCTCTGCTACCGCACAGCAAGCGGTACCAGTGCACCAAGCCTATAACCAACAGGACCCTGAACAGCTTCTACTCCCAAACCATAAGACTTCTAAACAATCAAATGGCTACCCGGACTAGCTGCATTGACCATTTTTTGCACTAACTCTCTTACACTGGACTCTACCCACACACTCACACATACTTACACCCCAACCACACACACACTTTCAAACTCACCACATACGCTGCTGCTACTGTCTATTATCTATCCTGTTGCCTAGTCACTTTACCCCTACCTATATGTACAGTACATAGCTACCTCAATTATCTCGTACCCCTGCACATCGACTTGGTACTGATACTCCCTGTATATAGCCATATTACTTTCTACTCCCTATATATAGCCATGTTATTTTCTACTCCCTATATATAGCCATGTTATTTTTACTTGTTATTCACTATGTATTTCTTCCTCTTGTCACTATTTATATTTTACAATTTTGTATCTTATCTTTAACTCTGCATTGTTGGTAATGTACCCCTAAGTAACCATTTCACTGTTAGTCTACACCTGTTGTCTACGAAGCATGTGACAAATAAAACTTGATTTGATTTGAATTTTGACTGGCTGTAGACAGAGGAAATACGGAACTAAATTCTCCTGGGGTGAGTGTCCTGGGGGGAAGACAAAGACATACGCACACTGTGTCAAACTGGCTGGGGTTCTATCTCAATCAGTCTCTCCACGATTCCTTGCATCTCATCTCCTCGCCTCCTTCTCAATAGTATTTGAGGAGAAAGTCCAAGGTCCCTCCGCTTTTTCTCCAATGCATTTTAAAAAGGAGGCGAGGATATTAGATGCATGAAATTGAGGAAAGATGATTTGAGAAAGAGGCTGGTTCTAGATGGAGGAAATACTCTGGAATGGGAAGGGTTAACAGACAGGAACCTTACCTATTGAGACGATGTCCCCGGGGACTAGTTCATCACTGGACACAGGCCTCCACTTCCTGTTGCGGTAAACCTGTCGGGAAACATGGGCACAAACATGTAAATATCAGAGGCCTGTTTAGTAGGGAGGAAACTTTTTTGACACTGAGTAAAACAAGGAGGTACTAGCTACACTTGTTCAATAATAAGAACACACAAAGATGTTCGTTTTCCGTTGCAAAACATTTTACACAGTGTGCCCTACTGAACACAACGCGGACAGATTGATAATTTGGTTAATGCAGCATTTCCCAAACTAGAGGTCGCAAAACTCCTACAATTATGGCTCTAACCTTTGAACGGTATGAGCTATACGCTAAGCTAAGATTCTCAGGAACAAGTATGTGTCTTCGGTTTCCCTCTATAATGCTCACAAGCATGACTGATTAGAACCAAGTGGACAGAACCAGGCACCAAATTAGACTGGGGGGGGAAGAACATCATCATTGAAAGCAATGATGGTGTTCTTTTCTACACAGACAATTATTGGCTGATGCATTTCAGTCACTTCAAACCATACTTCCCTCAGATTGAAGTACCGTCAGACTGATTTGCCATAGCTCCAAATCAAAAAGTTAACATTAGCTGTTGATTACATCACTTATTTTTTACATGGTGGGGGTCGCAAAAAAGGTTTGATATCAAAATGGGGTCTCAGGCCAAAAAAGCTTGGCAACCCCTGGGAAAATGAGTCAGATCCTATAGTGGGAGTCAGGGACTTCTCTCTACAACTCTAGAATAACAAGGCTCTGGTGATAATTTGTTGATCTGCACTTAAGTAAGAAGAACATGCACCTGTCCATGTATCATATCATGAAATATCTTATCAAACGACATGATCATTTACGATAAAGATACAGTAGTTCACCTGGATCATGTAGGGTTTGTTCCCCATGCGTCGTATTTCAGACATATTCCTCATCTGCTGTTGTACCAGAGAGGCTTCGAAGGCCACCAGCATGAAGAGAGTGAACACGCTGTAGTACCAGTACTCATCCAGACACCACAGACCCACACAGAACACCTGAGGAGGGGAGAGAGAGAGCATCCATCTTTACACCTGTTGAGCCAAGCGGTACTGTGCTGGCCTGGTTGATGCATCGGCATCCACCATAGTTGCTAGAATGGTACTGGAAAGGACCATGTGAAAAGAAAATATCCAAGCTAGTGTAGTACGGTTCAGGTCAGCAAGATAGTGTGAAAAGGGTATTATTATTGAGTCAAAACTATCCCCACATGCCCCTAAAGAGATCAATATAGAAAGTGAAAGAAAGAGACTAGAGAGTTATTTTACTACGTGTCATATTACTACTTGACAAAACAACACTCAAATACGCACGCACACACACACACACTAAAACACACCTGGAAGACGAAGAAGGGAGCGGTGGCTCTCTCCCTGAAGAGTTCCAGGAAGTCCGGCACCATCATCTCAGCGCGGTTGGTCCCATAGCGCTTCTCGGCAGCACGCAGGTCTGTCTCCTCCTGGTAGCCTCGCCAGGCCTGGAAGAAGCCCATTGGCTGTCGGACGGGGAACGACACAGGGAGGAAACACTTCCTCTCCTTGTTGTCGAAGATGTAGCAGATCTTCTGGAACTCAAAGGACAGGATTCCCTCGCCATTCTCATCCTGAGGAGAGCGCAGGAGAGTGCGATAGAGAGCAAGCGAGTATATGAGTTAAAACACACACACAAAACATTTGCCATCCAAAAAACTGTATAACTGACTAGAATAGAGATGTTAAGAGAGGACCATTCTGACACCATGCATTGCCCACAAGTTTCAACCAGTATACTTGGGTCATGTTCAGCACGGCACACTGTAGCAAAACGTTTTGTAACAGTTACAAACGTTTTCTCCCCATTGAACACAACCCTGGGTTAAGTAAACAAGGTGTAGGCCAGAGGAATAAGGCAAACTCACCCGGTCTCTCTGCAGTGGTACCAGCTCAGCAGAACCGTTGTTGGGGGTGGGTATAACCTTAGCCAGGGTGGCCTTGTGTGGGTCTGGCTCCTGTTTATACACATCAATTCACAGCAGGTGAGCAATTAATATACTCTAGCTGACAGACACAGCCTTATAATCAGGTCAAAACTTTCTGAATAAGGGACACGAATCTATTACACATAATTTGAAAATATCCTTGTGTAGAGTATAAAATAATGCTGACTAGAGTGATCACGAATTAAATTGGACAGTGTTAGTTCACACAATCTCCAACACCTAATTCCAAAACAACCGCAGATGATCCCTCCACTTTACCTTGGAGCAGGTGAGCCAACAATGCGCGTGCACGGACCAATAACCAGAGAGCGCTGTGAGGACGTGCGCGATCCCGATGGCGGCGAGAGCTAGTAGGCCTGCCTCTGGGTACTCGGAAGTACCGTACACTCCGAGCCACACGTACAACCAGCCAGGGTACAGCACGGCTAAAAAAGGTAGAACCGTGCCGTGGAATAGCCGGGGCCTGCGCCGATACAGCGACACCGAGCTAACGTTCTCGTCGTCAGTCTCGGCGCTGTCATGCTGGCTGTTCATAGAGGGGGCCATTTGCAGCTCCCCCGGCCCCTGATTCCCGTCCTCCGAAACCATATTCCCCAGTTTCGTAGCCGCGTTCATTTTCGTCCCTATCTCTCCGGGCCCCCTCTATCCTCCACTTCCCCCCTAGCTATTAGTGTCGGTAGTAAGGCAGTTCCACACAATCTAGTTGTTTTAGTCCGGTTTCAGGTCCAGTTTTCTGAATCGGCTCGTTCTCACACAGCTGCTTCCGCGTACGCAACCACGTAAGGACACGTAATGTTCTTTTTGCTGTCGTGTGGTTACTTCCTGCCGAGAGAGATACCGATTTGAGCACATTTGTTTGACATCAAATATCCTAAATCAAGTGCATCTTAAAAGGAGCATTTTCAAAGCAGGGGTTGACAAAATAAAGGTTAAAATATCACAGGGCAATCGGTTGTTTCTCCTTTAAGAAATAAACGCTTTTGGACACGAGCAGGAAATATCAAAATCTGTGATTGACAACAACCCAGGACCAATGGTATAGAACAATGGCAGTATGCAACGTATTTCGACCAATCGAGATAGAGGAGGGTGTGTGCAGTAGATATTCTGTGTACGGCTGTGAACATGTGTTTTATAACCTTGATTCTCTCTTTACTTTCATTCTAAACAAGCCTTCAAATTACTTCCACCGCAAGCATGTAAGTGTCTTCAACGTTATGCATTTCATAGCTATCTATTTTAGTAAATAATCTACGTTCTAAACTGTACTCATTTACACCAATAAGATACAGTTGTGACTCAACCAGTATCTGTGCGTTAGAGACCTCTATTCAAACTCCAATTCAAGCGTTATAATGTCAAAATACGTTCGTTGATCACCAAATATGGAGTTTCGATGAGCAAATCTTAATTTACTCCCGTTACGGCTGGTATGTACTTCCAAAAAATTTCTACATAAAAATGAACAAGCAAAATTAACCGAAGAAAATGATATTCTGCATGGTCATGGCTAGAAGGGATCCATCCAGCCTTTGTCAAATTAACGTCAGAGCTGACTTTTCATAGCATGTTAGGAAAGAGGATCCAATTGAAGACTGCAACTGAATATTTATTATTGCTCCCATCTTGTCACATGTAGTTATGGTTCGAATCCAGGCTCTTTCGTAGCCGGCCACGACCGGGAGACCCATGGCCCAGCGTCGTCCAGGGTAGGGGAGGGAATGGCCGGCAGGGATATAGCTCAGTTGGTAGAGCATGGCGTTTGCAACGCCAGGGTTGTGGGTTCGATTCCCACGGGGGGCCAGTATGAAAATAATAAAAAAAATAATGTATGCACTCACTAACTGTAGGTCGCTCTGGATAAGAGCGTCTGCTAAATGACTAAAATGTAAATGTATGTTAGCTTTTTCAAAAGCTTTAAAACTGGTAGCAAAGATGTTCAAAGTAGTCAAAACTAAGGAATAAACCAACAGACCACTTCAGCTACAATAACATTCTCAGTAACTGTTATAGATTTTGTTGTTGTTGCTATGACTATGATATGTTGTTGTTGTTTATCTACCTTAGTTGAATGCACTGACTGTAAGACCCTGAATAATTTTTGGGGGGGAAAACATGATGGGGATCCCTGGGTCGCCGGTTTGCCTGTGCGAGGAAAATTTGAAAACCTGTACGGTACAGTACAGTAGTTTAATTCAGCAGAGCATGTACAGTACAGTAGTTTAATTCAGTAGAATACAGTACAGTTTTGTTCAGTACATTAGAGTAAAGTAGGGTACAATACAGTACTCTATTCTTTACTGTACTGTACGCTACTTTTCTTTACTGTGCTGTACTGTGCTGTCCAAACTTCTGAAACACAGATGTCTATAATTGGTTCAGATTTGGTTCATGAAATTGCCAAATATAGGCCGGGCCGGAACGTCTGTGGACGTTGAAATCAAGGCCGGTCCAGACCGCACCATAAAAATAAAGAAAAAAAGATACTTTGCCGTCCGTAAATGCTTAGTGGGCAGTTTGTTTTTCTGAAATTCATTCCTTCAACTATTGTCATTGTCACAGAAGAGGACACACCGTCCATGATTGGACTTCACTGTAATTGTCTATGCATATCTCAGAAACTGTTCTGCATGTCTGTGTCATCCTCCAGGCAGGTTGCCATGGATATCACCACCAAGTATTGCCATAAGGAGATGGAGAGCTATGGGCAGTGTGTGGCCTCCCACCCGTCTACATGGCAACGGCACTGTCAAGACCTGAAGATGAAGGTGGCACAGTGTACCTCTTCACAGTAAGGAATAAACCATTGTCCCTGACAATATCAGTTGTGAAATCCATAACCTATTTAGCTAACGTTTCACTCCTTGTACTCCGTGTCATTGTTTTGCATGATAAGGAGTTGAATGAAAGCAGCAACAGACTGGTAGTACCCAGACTATAACTGACTGGCCTTGATGGTCATATGTAAACTCGGTACAGAGCAGAGTGGGCCTCTCTTGGAGTCTGGTTCCTCTCTAGGTTTCTTCCTATTTTGACAGTTGGAAACAGGGGAGACAGGCAAGTAGGAGAACAGTAGGAAGGGTGGAGGTGGGGAATGAACCCCGGTCTCCAGTGGGGAACAGTATATGTGACTAGTCGGGAGCATTAACGCTAGACCACAGGCTTTGCACAGGTTTTCTCCTTCTAGGCCCTATTCCTTCCACTGTGCTGCTGCTTGTACTTTGAGGGTCTAGGTTGGGTTACTGTAAAGAACTATTGATGTGAAAATAATTCCGATGCAAGAAGTCAAACCAGTGATGTTGTGAGGTGTAGGATTGTGTTTAAGTTTTCTTCAAGATCTTATTGATCAATGTTTCTGCAGCCCTGTGATCCAGAAGATCCGGACAGACTGTTCCAAAGAATTCACAGAGTTTGAACGCTGCTTACTAGAGAACCAGAACTCACCTACCTCCTGTTCAGCACACGTAGCACGCTTCCTCGGCTGTGCCGAGACAGTGGACCTTTCCGGAGTGGGTGAGTGTTCACTGATTGTAGATCAGTCTTCAGCTCGTTCACCACAGCCCTCACTTTTTTTTGTGGTTATACTAACTTTTGACTGGTGTCCCTTGGCCTTGAGAGAGTGCTTTACATCAGTTTCTTTCATATTCGGTCTTCAAGTACCCCCAAAAGTAAACATTAAATAAATATCTTATTACGTGGTATAAACTGGGTCTTTCTGTCCTTAGTATTCATACCTGTCCAGTGTCCGTACACCATACTGTATTTGTTTTGACCTTTTTGACAATCTCAGTTAACCCAGGACTAAAATCTTGCGTAATTTGGTAATTTATGTTTACGTAATCTGTTTTCGAGAGATTACCTTTTTGAATACTTAGTGTTGTAGTTTAAGTGAATATATCTCCTCTTTCAGCAGTGAACCCGGTTCCTCATCCCTGTTAGGACCCAGCAGTGACCATCATCCATCCCTCTCAGAGAAGATATCTCCTTCCTGCAATACTGACGCCGGACTGCTCTATCAATCATGGATAAATCAATGCCCATGGCATTTTGATAACATCCTGACTTTGTACATGGATAAAGTGGACTCTTGTCCATGGCTACTTTAGGATTTGTCAAGAGAACTCGGAATACTAGACATTAACAAGTTACTGGGACTGAGACTGTCAAGAATCAAGATGGGTTTCTAAAAATTAAAATTTTTTTATTTTTTATTTTTTTAAATAATATATAAAATACATGTATGCACTCACTAACTGTAAATGACTAAAATGTAAATATGTCATTTCTTGAAGTTCTATAAATATGATGCTACAGCTCTCTGAAATACACTGGAACAATGGGAATCAGAGGTGTCATTTCCTATATGTGAAAAGAATCACTGTGCGACTGGCTGTGCAGCAGGTTTTACTGTGTGTAATACATATTTACAACACTGGTAACCTCGGGTAGCAGCATAAATTGTTTTATTTTCCTCTCCAACAAAGCAGCAATATTTATGAATGCTATATTGAGAATGAATGTGTGTAACGGAGTTAGCTTTGTAACCTCACTCCGCAGCCTATATTTTCTCAACTGCGTGTTATCGAAGTATCCCTTGTTTGCGGTGTAGTTGTCTCTTGTAGATGTTATTTTGGGTGAAGTTGATCATTAAACTCCTATATTTCAGTCCTATTACTCATCCAGTTTGGATACATACTCTGATGTTATGGTGCTACTCAAGGGTGCCCCTCTCTCCCTCCCGCTCTCCTTTTATTCAGGTTGAAGTGAGTCATGGTAGAATATTAAACCGTGGAATGTATGATAACTCTCCCACACATCTCTCCTTGGCTACTCACTTGTTGAGGGAAAGGAGGGAGTGCAGGAAGGATGGAAGGAGGCTGGAGAATTAGAATATGAAGGAGCTAAGGAAGGGTGGAAGGAAGGAGAAGTAGGGGGGGATGAAGGAGGAGGATTTCCACTGGTGGAGGGAACAGAGCCCAGGAAGGATGGAGGAAAACGGAGAAGGAGGGGGCTGTGGAGATAGAATCTGTGTGACCACAGAGACAGACGAGGGAGGATATTGAGTTATGTGCCCTTTGACTACTAACCAGAACAGGCCCCCTTTTCTGCTTCACTTATTAAAGGCTGAGGGAGACGCAATCAAGTGGAGAGATTCTTCCTTAGAAATGTCAGTCTTCAAAAAGGTCAAAACTTTAGAAAAAAACAACGTGCAGAGGCTCTTTTCTACAATTACGTTATAGCTCCCTATCATACAAAACATTAAGAACACCTTCCTAATATTGAGTTTCCCCCCGCCCCCCCTTTTTGCCCTCAGAACAGCCTCAATTCGTCGGGGCATGGCCTCTACAAGGTGTCGAAAGCGTTCCACAGAGATGCTGGCTCGTGTTGAGTCCTATGCTTCCCACAGTTGTGTCAAGTTGGCTGGATGTCCTTTGGGTGGTGGACCATTGTTGATACACACGGGAAACATGAGCACGAAAAACCCAGCAGTGTTGCAGTTCTTGATACAAACCGGTGCGCCTGGCACCTACTACCATACCCTGTTCAAAGGCACTTAAATATTTTGTCTTGCCCATTCACCCTCTGAATGGCACACATACACAATCCATGTCTCAATTGTCTCAAGGCTTAAAAATCCTTCTTTAACCTGTCTCCTCCCCTTCATCTACACTGATTGAAGTGGATTTAACAAGTGACATCAATAAGGGATCATAGCTTTCACCTGGATTCACCTGGTCAGTCTGTGTCATGGAAATAGCAGGTGTTCATAATGTTTTGTACACTCAGTGTAGAAGGAGAAGCCTTGCATCATCAGCATCACACATATACTCAGAATAATAATGTAGGCATATTTAGTCTGACTCTGAATTGACAGGTTATATTGAAGAAATGACAACATTACACTCAAAAAGCACATACACTGGAAGAGCTCACAGAACAAAAACTTTAACCGTTTCTTTCAGACAATCTAAGAATAAGAATTTCTCATACCTTACAGAGAAATGTATCGCACAATAAATTATATCCACGTAAATACTGTACTGTAAAAAATATATCATCAGTCAATTATGTGAAATCATATAGGAAGTGGACTCCACAAGATGGTCCGGTCCCTGTGTGGGTATAAGCTATAGGAAAATACTGTCATCAGTGCTATGTTCATAGTAATAATTATTTACATTTTGAAAGTGTGGCACACACAGCTCATGCTACAACATAAATACTTAACCATAAGAGTACAAAATATTGAACAACGTCTATTGTAAGGTGTGTTTTCGATGAAAGAAATAATTACAGTGATTTATACCTATAGTAGTACTGTAGTATTCATTGTAACAACAATAATATTAACACAATTATTTTACATTGGAACACATACTTGTTTATCGTAGCTAGGGCCAGTAGTTTTCCTGACCACGTGACCTGACCAGGAAAGACTCCTGGGCCTAAGTGTTACTCACCAATTAGTATTCAACTTATACCTTTTAGTTAGGGCCTAGAGTTTTTCCCTCCCAGGACAAACTCCTGCACCTTTATTAGTGAATACTTCACAGTATCAAAGAAATAGTTACACGAAAGCTAGCTCTGGTCCAGGGTGTTACGTGTGGCTTGCTGATGCTGAGCATTTCTAAGCAAGCCCCACATAAAACCCTGGACCAGAGCTACATGAAAGCGTTACACTTTCCTTTACACAACCCTGTTTCTGTGATAACCTTATCTGAATGACCCTGTTTGCCTACTCCATAGTGGTGTTTCTCAATCCTGGTCCTGGGGACACAAAGGGGTGCGCATTTTTGTTTTTACCTTAGCAGTTCACACCTGACAACGCACCATCTTGACCACACAGCAGCGCAGAGCTTTCAAGGCCTCCTTCGAGGTGTCCTCCAAACCATGCAGAAAGGTAAGCAGACCAGGCATAGCATTGTTTCTTTCTTCTTTTCAATGTGCACCCCTCTGGGCCCCAGGACAAAGATTGAGAAACACTGCTCTATAGGACCCTGATTGTAACTACAGTGTAAATATCTTCTTTCTCTATGTTGACTAATGTGAACTAATCAGGGGTTCGAGTGATTTGTTAATAATTTCCTGTATAACATTGCTAAAAACACTAACCTGAGAGGAAACTCTAGAACTAAGTTACCTAACCCACATATTTCACTCATTCACATACAAATCTAACTTGCCACTCACTCTGTATCCTCCAACTCATCTCAACCTCTATGAAATCTATCTCTCCAATGTTCCTCCAAATCCACCAGTACCTTTATTCCAGTCATTAATTTAGGCTTAACTTCCATTCACTTTCTGATTTGACTGAACTGAAAACTAAATTGACCCAATCCATGCTTTGAACCAGTGCCCATCTCCACTACAATGGTTTTGGGGTTGAATCATGTTCTGGAGGCAGCTCTGCTCCTAGTCTGCTGTAACCTCTCTGGTATGCATGTCTTCACTCTGCTCCTAAACCCTGCTGCCAAGAAGACTCCCTATCCATGTGGACACAACAAGCAGGTCAGAACATGAGCTAATGAATGAAACACTCCCCATTCATTAGCAACCTAATAAGTAACATAAGTTTGTGATTCACAAACACACGGACCTGACAGACCTGGGATCAAATAGTATTTGTTTTCTTTGAAATACTTAGCTGCCGTTGATTTAAGCTTGCCTGGAGCAATGGACCAATGGAATAGTGACTCCCCCTCCCCCCTTAAATGAAACAATGAGAGTATCAAATAAAGTATGTTGTCATAGGATTTCACATCTGTCTGCTACAGGTAGGATGTTGGGATCAAGCAAAAGAGTGTGGCCGTGTCCGAATACCCATATTTGCATCCTAAATAGTAGGCCGTTTGAGTATGTGGAAAAGATAAAGTTTTATAGTATGTGTAATGTTGAAAATCGAGTATACTTTAAATGCCTGGATGTCACTCATTTCGGCTTTTCATCTAGTAGAATTCGCTGGGAAGATCGAGGAAGATAATCGTCTTTTCACACCCACGTGTGTTCGACAACAGCTGATAATCAGAATAGGGGACGCGCTCTACAAAAATTAACGAATGGCGGGGAACAAGGGTGATTGCGCATTCGATGACACCTTCTCAGTATGTATGAGTAGTATTTTGATATTTGTTGCTTACTGCATACGTTTGTACTAAACAGAACGTTCTAAATAGTCTGTAGTAGGATAGGTACACAGTATGCAGTTTAAGTAAGTAGTAGGCAAGCCAGATTTCGGACACGGCCTAAGTCATAGTTGAGATCTTAAATGGCTACCTGGATCGTGTTTGGTATGGCAAGTTAAGGTAGTACCTCCCCGTTTCACGCCTAACGTTTCCTCCCTACTGAACATGACCCAGGTGTTTCCTATTATGCTTTTACTTGGTTATGTACAATAAGCCTGTTCAGATATGGATATGGACCCAGCTCAAGCATGGTTGGTGTGATGACCTTGTGGGCCTAGTAGGATAACCGGCCATTAGCTGCTTCTCTGAGTGGTGATTGGTGGAGTGAGTCAGAGGTCAAAGGTGAGGGGTCAGGATGTGAAGTAGGAGTTCTGCATGGAGTAGAGGCGGTCGATGGGGTTTCCCACCCGCCCCGCCAGGAGCCCGCCGTCTGCCGTTGCCAGGAGACAGTCGCCGAGGTGACTGAGGCTTCCGTCGCTGTCCAGATCGTGGAACACAGTCTCTGAATCTAAATGGAGAAATAGAGTTAGTCTTTCTGTTTGGTCCGTCCGTCCATCTCTCTCTCTCTCTTTCTTTCTCCCTCTCCCTCTCTCTCACCGTAGGAGTGAAGATGTTCAGAGCCCAGCTGAGGGGGTGTGAGGCCATGGCGGAACGGCTCTCCTCCGTAGATGTTGGGGTCCAGAGCCAGTAGCTGCTGTCGTGGCAACGAGGGGTACGCCAACAGACCGTCCAATCCGTGACCACTAGAACCATCTGGGAGGAGAGAGACAGAACATTAAATCAATCCCTGCATCTCTTCCTCTCGTCCTGCCCCTTTACCTCCAGAGACATTGTTTCACCTGCCTAGAGGGGAGTTTCCTGAAACCTTTGCTACTTTGGCAAGCTACTCTTTTAATTGTTACGTTTGTACTGAAAGACTAATCTTCCTGTGCATGAATGAACAAAAATTGCCAAATTAAGCACTTCTATATCTACCGTTCTACGAGTTAAGTACCAGTTATTTACAAGGGCTTTTGGGAAACCCCTGTTCTGTCTCCCCGTCTTACCCTCACTGTCATCGTTGCTTTGTCGGCCCCCCCTGCTCGGCCCTCTCCTGGACCCTCCCAGCTGCTCCTGCTCCTGCTGCTGTTGCTGTTGCTGCTGCCTGCGAGCTATCTTCTTCATCTGCAACACACAGGACAAACACACACTGGCACACTGATAATGGACTCAATGGCGCTATTGCTCTGTCGTTCGTTAAAAGGATTGTTCACCAAAATTGCATTGTTATTTGGGTAAACTATCCCTTTAACTGTTCTTTAGCCTTTAAAATAAATGTTAGCATGCAGTTCCAGAGCAATTGCGCCATTAGATTCATGATTAGTGTTATTGGTTGTATTAGTGTCATGGGGGGGGGGGGGGGATTCAGGACAGGTCAAATATCTCACCTTTGCTCTTTGGTTTTGGAACCACACCTGCACGACTCGAACCGTCAACCCGGTCTCAGCTGCCAGTGTCTCTCTCACCTGAAGATAAGAGAAATTAAGCCATGACACTAAATGGGACTGTGTTTGTGTGTTTATGAGAGCGAGAAAGAGAGAAAGAAAACCGTGTAATGCCTGGTCTGCTTACCTTTCTGCATGGTTTGGAGGACACCTCGAAGGAGGCCTTGAAAGCTCTGCGCTGCTGTGTGGTCAAGATGGTGCGTGGTCGCTTTGACCGTTTGTGGTCCTTCCCTTCGCCGCCCTTCCCCCCTACAGAACCGCCCCCACCATCCTCATCCTCACTCTTCACTGAGGGGTGTGGAGAGAGAAAATGGGATCTTCAATTGACAGACAAACTGGTATCAAATGGTGCCTAGTAGTGAATCCCAGTGAAAAAACAAGTCAGTAGGTTATCACTGTGTAATTATGTAATCTCCTGCACTTTCTGTACCGTAACATAAAGTGCCACCTAGATTTCGTCCAGTAATTTTATTGGTTGATTGATTGATTTGATTGGTTGCCCTGTCTTGTCCTGTTACCTGACTCAGTGGGTGTGGGGCTGATGGCAGCCAGCATCTCTCTCTCCTTCTCGTAGTCTCCTCTGCAGAGCAACTGTCCCTCCTTCAGGACAAACTCGTCTCCGCGCTGCAGCCGGCGCTCACACTCACAGCAGCTGAAACAGCCCAGGTGGTACACCTGCCCCAGCACACGCATGATCAGCTCTGAGCGGCCAATCACCTGCAGGCACGCACTGCACTTCCTGACAAACAGCCTATAGGGACAGAGGTGGGAAAGGGTGCGTTCCAGTGTGTTATAGATAAGTTGCCTTTATTGCAGTCGGGTGCATTCCAGGTTGTCTTTTTTGCAGTCCTGAAGAAGAGTTAGTTTAACGTCTCTAGAATCACAGTAGGAATATGATAAAGTAATATTCTGAGATGTGCAGAAGACACCGTCTTGACCACACAGCAGCGCAGAGCTTTTAAGGCCTCATTCGAGGTGTCCTTCCAAACAGTCTTTTTTTGTACAGCAGCGCAGAGCTTTTAAGGCCTCATTTGAGGTGTCCTTCCAAACAGTCTTTTTTTGTAGTCGGGCTGCAGATGATCAGGTCTCACATCGCTTGCAGGAGTGTTGTAACTTCTCAGTAAGGAACCACGCTAACATGATATTAGCAGTCCTCTGAGATGTGCCGAGCGACTGAATTAAAGACAACCTGGAACGCACCCAAAGGCAGAGAGACAGACACAGATTGCCTGAAAGATTAGACCTAATTTGCACCTGTGGAGATTATCAACCAAATCTGTGTACAGTATCTAATTAAATGAACATGTAACGTAGCTAACATCTGTTTACTGCAATAACAGTACGTGGTAATGCTTTGGGACGTTGTTCTTCACTGATGACACTGGGGGGCAGTAGTCAACTGATGTGTAGGGAGCCTGCACTGAAGTGTTGATGGATTCTAGGTCTTTAACTACTTCTTTACATTCATCTATTGAATGAGCTGGTCCAGTGTTCTAGCCCATCATTACCTATTATTCACAATTAGTAGGATTTAGAAGAAGAGAACATGTGAAACAAGTATCGTGCTTGGACTGTTTTTAAAAAACAGTTCACACACACTCGTTCACGGGGCTTCGTTGTCTACTTTCCTTTTGTCCTTTCACCACCACTCTAGTGTGTCCCGCCCCTTTAATTTCCTCCTACTCATTCTCCTTCTCATCAACATATCAATTCAATTTAAAACTCCTGCTTTTACATTCCTCTTAAATCCCAGTTGTTTTTTCCTTCTGTCCCCCTCCTTCTATCCCTCCTTCCCTCTCTCTCCAGTATTTTCTGACAGGATTCCCAATTCTCCCCCCTCCCTCCCTCCCTCCCTTCTCCTTCGCAGTTCAGTGAAACTAATAAAGACAGGATTAATTAGATTGTTGTTTAAACAGTGCGATGCCCAGACAGACGCTTTAAACTCATAACCAGGGATTGGCCATAGCATGGGGTTAATCTCTCTCTCTCTCTCTTTTACACACCAAAATACACACACAAACAAACAGACCCCCCCCCCCCCCCCCCCCCCACCACCCCACACACACACACTCTTTCTCGGTCTCTCTAGCCTAACCCGACCCATAAACTCACACATACATTTACAGGAAACCCAGGTTACTCATCAATATACAGTGAGTGAGTACTTCCATATACATTTCTACAATAACTATCCATATCTAAAACACACACATGCCCACGCCTAATCATATGATGACATATTGACACTGGGGAAATCCTGGGTCATTAAACAACACTGCAAACAAGAGGTCTGCTGTGTAGAGACTTCGCTCATAGAAAGTGAGAGACCATAAAAATAAGAGTGTGAGAGAAAAATATTTATGTTGAAATATTGCAAGAGGCAAGGGATGACTGGATGAGATGAGAACGCGACAGGATGACTAGGGACAGAGAGATAGATGGAGGAAGTTAGGGAGGGGAAAGAAGGAGAGAAGTGTTAAGGCTCTCTGACTGGGTGAGAGGAAGGTGTTGCTACCCCAAATCTGGAGGGCGGAGAGGGGAAGAGGTGAGAAGAGAAAAGGAGGAGAGGAGAGTGAGCCAGGTCGGCACATTAGAACTCCTAATCTGTGATCTTGTCCTGTCCGAACCACAGCTGCCACGGATAATCTATCTCAATCCATCTGTCTGCCAAACTAGCTAACACTCCCGAAAATTACCCCAATCACAGCCCGCCACCGTCACACATACTTACTTAACCAAACACACTCGCTTGCCAAACACACTTAGACACACACACTCACACACACAATCGAGGAGTACCAATTGAACACTAATCCAGGCAACACCACTACCACCACGACCATCAATTCACTTCACACTCCATTATACAAAGCTGTCTCTGTCTGCAACACACAGAAAGTTCTCTCAAGTGCCTACTCTTAATTGCCTCATTACCTACAGAAATTGTAAGTAAAATATCTCATCCAAGACCCCCGAAAATGACAAACCAGAATCTTTAGTTTTAAAGGGGCAATCTGCTATTCTTTTACTTTAAAATGCATGACATGTACCCATTAATTATTGAATATAACTTATGCCTCATTAGCTTAGTTCAATTGTCTTATCCCATCATTACCCAAAATATACGATTGCTTTACTCCTTTGTTTGTAAACAAAGTAATTGTAAACAAACACTGTATAGCCTCAAAATATTGGTTAAAACTATACATTTGATCTCATAGATGTCAGTCCTTGCATCAATAGTTCTGTATACATTTGAGAGTAGTTACATTTCTCCATCCCTCAGCTATTTACCAAATCAATGGCAGGGTGTCAGCTTTGTTATTGTTTGAACTGCAGATTTCCCCTTTAAATCCCAGTTTGTTTTTTATTAATCCCATTTTATACTTCCAGAATTTACTGAACATAATAACCTAATTTACTCCAAATAAAGGCGACTTGGGACAACGGTCACCAGACCACAATCCTCTGCAGTGTTTAAGTCCTGCTTTTTGGTTTTTAATCCCATTTCATAGTGCCACATATTATAGAATTTACTAAACTTGGAAACTGAAGGCAACGGTCACTGAGGGAGGTCTCTAAGTAGATCAGTCTAATCCCCCTAATAGAAGTGTAATTCACAATAGACCCACCTGCGTCCCGAATGGCACCATATTCCCTATATAGTGCACTACTTTTGACCAGGACCCATAGGGCTCATAGGGGATATGGTGCCATTTGGGATGCATCCCCAATAACCAATGGGAGAGGAGAAATGGCTCATGGCTGCTATCAAGATGAATGTTCCCACTTCAGACGAAACATGACTTTTTAGGCATAATGAAGCCTTCATAAACCCTTTATAAAGCCTATATAGGTGTCTCCGAAATTATGAGTGCGTAAGCATGCATGTTCAGTATGTGTCCATCCATGTGAATGGATTAGTGAAAATGTGTATTGGGTTTTGTATTGTCAGTGTTCAGTGGATGTTTGTTTTAGCACATTGGGAATGTAAGCTTGGTTGAGGTTGTGGGTATGGTATCTGTACAGTGAGTCTGGATGTTACAATCTTAGTATAGCTTTAGTATAATTTTATTTTGGTGTGTGTGTATATATGAGCGTGTGTGCGTGCATCGTGCATGTGTGTGTGTGCACGTGCAAGTGTGTGTGTGTGTGTGTGAGCGGATATTGCACTGTGAAGCAGGATGGCTCAGAGCCAGGGCTCAGTAATCACATCATCTCCTTTTATTAAATCTCCCTGCACTGCTTCTGTGTTATTAAAATTTCCCAGCATTCCCCACGATACCGCTTCCCCCGCCGCCGCCACCACACACACACATACACACAAACACACACACACATGCTCACCTACACACACACACACACACACACTCGTGACACACACACACACACACACACACTAAGGTGCACGCATACAAAACAGACACATACACTCAAAAAAATGCTGGGTTGTTTGACCCAACTGCTGGGTTTTGCAGGCGTTTGGTCACTTAGTTGGGTTGTTTTCTTTAAAAACTGCTGGGTTATTGTTGCTGGGTTATTGATCCAGCGGGTCAGATCATTAGACTGGAGGCCTAGTTTAGTAGAAGTGTGGCTTTCAGATCGTTATTTTTAGCCACCCATGAGAGTAAATGTCATTCCTGTTAATCTGTTCTTTTGTATAGTTATCACATGTTTAGCTTCAATGAAGCTTACAGAAGTGTATGAGTTCCCTAAAAGCTTATGTAAATTCCACTGTTGGGATACAATAAGGTGGTATACCTTATTATAATTATGCAATAAGGGGGGGTGTGGTATATGGCCAATATACCACGGCTAAGGGCTGTTCTTATGCACGACGCAACGTGGAATGCCTGGACACAGCCCTTTTATTTTTTTATTTTTTATTATTTCACCTTTATTTAACCAGGTAAGCCAGTTGAGAACAAGTTCTCATTTACAACTGCGACCTGGCCAAGATAAAGCAAAGCAGTGCGATAAAAACAACAACACAGAGTTACATATGGGGTAAAACAAAACAAAGTCAAAAATACAACAGAAAAAATATATATACAGTGTGTGCAAATGTAGCAAGTTATGGAGGTAAGGCAATAAATAGGCTATAGTGCCAAATAATTAAAATTAGTATTAACACTGGAATGCTAGATGTGCAAGAGATTATGTGCAAATAGAGATACTGGGGTACAAATGAGCAAAATAAATAACAATATAGGGATGAGGTAGTTGGGCGGGCTAATTTCAGATGGGCTGTGTACAGGTGCAGTGATCGGTAAGGTGCTCTGACAACTGATGCTTAAAGTTAGTGAGGGAGATGAGTATCTCCAGCTTCAGAGATTTTTGCAATTTGTTCCAGTCATTGGCAGCAGAGAACTGGAAGGAATGGCGGCCAATAGAGGTGTTGGCTTTGGGGATGACCAGTGAGATATACCTGCTGGAGCGCATACTACGGGTGGGTGTTGCTATGGTGACCAATGAGCTAAGATAAGGCGGGGATTTGCCTAGCAGTGATTTATAGATGGCCTGGAGCCAGTGGGTTTGGCGACTAATATGTAGTGAGGACCAGCCAACAAGAGCGTACAGGTCACAGTGGTGGGTAGTATATGTGGCTTTGGAGACAAAACGGATGGCACTGTGATAGACTACATCCAATTTGCTGAGTAGAGTGTTGGAGGCTATTTTGTAAATGACATCGCCGAAGTCAAGGATCGGTAGGATAGTCAGTTTTACGAGGGCATGTTTGGCAGCATGAGTGAAGGAGGCTTTGTTTGCGAAATAGGAAACCGATTCTAGATTTAACTTTGGATTGGAGATTCTTAATGTGAGTCTGGAAGGAGAGTTTACAGTCTAACCAGACACCTAGGTATTTGTAGTTGTCCACATACTCTAGGTCAGACCCGTCGAGAGTAGTGATTCTAGTCGGGTGGGCGGGTGCAAGCAGCGTTTGGTTGAAGAGCATGCATTTAGTTTTACTAGTGTTTAAGAGCAGTTGGAGGCTACTGAAGGAGTGTTGTATGGCATTGAAGCTCGTTTGGAGGTTTGTTAACACAGTGTCCAATGAAGGGCCAGATGTATACAAAATGGTGTCGTCTGCGTAGAGGTGGATCTGAGAGTCACCAGCAGCAAGAGCGACATCATTGATATACACAGAGAAAAGAGTCTGCCCAAGAATTGAACCATGTGGCACCCCCATAGAGACTGCCATAGGTCCAGACAACAGGCCCTCCGATTTGACACATTGAACTCTATCTGAGAAGTAGTTGGTGAACCAGGCGAGGCAGTCATTTGAGAAACCAAGGCTATTTAGTCTGCCAATAAGAATGCGGTGGTTGACAGAGTCGAAAGCCTTGGCCAGGTCAATGAAAACGGCTGCACAGTACTGTCTATTATCGATCGCGGTTATAATATTGTTTAGGACCTTGAGCGTGGCTGAAGTGCACCCATGACCAGCTCGGTAACTGGATTGCATAGCGGAGAAGGTACGGTGGGATTCGAAATGGTCGGTGATCTGTTTGTTAACTTGGCTTTCAAAAACTTTTGAAAGGCAGGGCAGGATGGATATGGGTCTGTAACAGTTTGGATCTAGAGTGTCACCCCCTTTGAAGACGGGGATGACCGCGGCAGCTTTCCAATCTCTGGGGATCTCAGACGCTACGAAAGAGAGGTTGAACAGGCTAGTAATAGGGGTTGCGACAATTTCGGCGGCTAGTTTTAGAAAGAAAGGGTCCAGATTGTCTAGCCCAGATGATTTGTAGGGGTCCTGATTTTGCAGCTCTTTCAGAACATCAGCTGTCTGGATTTGTGTTAAGGAGAAGCGGGGGGGGCATGGGCAAGTTGCAGCGGAGGGTGCAGAGCTGGTGGCCGGGGTAGTGGTAGCCAGGTGGAAAGCATGGCCAGCCGTAGCAAAATGCTTGTTGAAATTCTCGATTATTGTAGATTTATCGGTGGTGATAGTGTTTCCTTGCCTCAGTGCAGTGGGAGGAAGTGCTCTTATTCTCCATGGACTTTACAGTGTCCCAAAACTTTTTGGAGTTAGTGCTACAGCATGCAAATTTCTGTTTGAAAAAGTTAGCCTTTGCTTTCCTAACTGCTTGTGTATATTGGTTCCTAACTTCCCTGAAAAGTTGCATATCGCGGGGGCTATTTGATGCTAATGCAGTACGCCACAGGATGTTTTTGTGCTGGTCAAGGGCAGTCAAGTCTGAGGAGAACCAGGGGCTATATCTGTTCTTAGTTCTGTATTTTTTGAATGGGGCATGTTTATTTAAGATTGAGAGGAAATTACTTTGAAAGAACAACCAGGCATCCTCTACTGACGGAATGAGATCTATATCCATCCAGGATACCTGGGCCAGGTCAATTAGGAAAGCCTGCTCGCTGAAGTGTTTTTGGGAGCCTTTGACAGTGATGAGGGGTGGTCGTTTGACCGCGGACCCGTTACGGACGCAGGCAATAAGGCAGTGATCGCTGAGATCCTGGTTGAAGACAGCGGAGGTGTATTTAGAGGGTAAGTTAGTCAGGATGATATCTATGAGGGTACCCATGTTTACGGATTTAGGGTTGTACCTGGTAGGTTTGTTGATAATTTGTGTGAGATTGAGGGCATCTAGTTTAGATTGTAGGATGGCCGGGGTGTTAAGCATATCCCAATTTAGGTCACCAAGCAGTACGAACTCTGAGGATAGATGGGGGGCAATCAATTCACATATGGTGTCCATGGCACAGCTGGGGGCTGAGGGGGGTCTGTAGCAAGCGGCAACAGTGAGAGATTTATTTCTGGAAAGGTGGATTTTTAGAAGTAGAAGCTCAAACTGTTTGGGCACAGACCTGGATAGTATGATAGAGCTCTGCAGGCTCTCTCTATAGTAGATTGCAACTCCACCCCCTTTGGCAGTTCTATCTAGACGGAAAATGTTATAGTTGGGGATGGACATTTCAGAATTTTTGGTGGCCTTCCTAAGCCAGGATTCAGACACTGCTAGAACATCAGGGTTGGCGGAGTGTGCTAACGCAGTGAATAACTCAAACTTAGGAAGGAGGCTTCTGATATTTACGTGCAGAAAACCAAGGCTTTTACGGTTACAGAAGTCAACAAATGATAGCTCCTGGGGAGTAGGAGTGATACTGGGGGCTGCAGGGCCTGGGTTAGCCTCTACATCACCAGAGGAACAGAGGAGGACTAGAATAAGTATACGACTAAAGGCTTTAAGAACTGGTCTTCTAGTGCGTTGGGTACATAGAATAAAGGGGGCAGTTCTCCGGGCGTTGTAGAAAAGATTCAGGGCATTATGTACAGAAAAGGATATGGAAGGATATGAGTACAGTTGAGGTAAACCTAAGCGTTGGGTAACAATGAAAGAGATAGCATCACTGGAGGCACCGATTGAGCCGGTCTCGGCGTGTATGGGGGGTGGAACAAAGGAACTATTTGAGGCAGTTTGAGAGGGACTAGGGGTTCTACAGTGAAATTGTATAATAAGAACTAACCCAAACAGCAATAGGCAAGGCATATTGACAAGGGAGAGAGGCATAAAGCAATCACAGGTGTTATTAGAGAGAGCTAAGACAACAACTGGTAATAACGATAAAGTTTGGGCTGAGGCAAAACAGAATAAACAGGACAGGGTACCATTTAAAGGAATAGTCCAGCAGGCATCAGCTGTGCAGCTGAGTGATCATAAGGTCCAGTGAACAGCAATATGTGAGTCCGAGAGCAGTTCAAATTGGTGCTTCAGCACAGCTAGCAGGGAGCACAGTTGTAGTTTGCGTGTGCTAGCGGGCTGGGGCTAGCAGATGGATCTTCGTGGTCGTCGCAACGGGAAGCCAGTTGAAACCACATCAGACGATTTCGTCGGCAAACCAGTCGTGTTGGATCGGCGGGGCTCAGTGTCAACACTAGGAGGTCCCGTCCGGTTGACAGAGAGGTAGATAGCCGGGAGATGGGCCTGAGGCTAGCTCAAGGCTAACTGGTGCTTGCTATGGGGCAATGGTAATTAGCCAACAACAGGTTGCAGCTAGCTAGCTGGTTGCGATGATCCGGCGCTAGGGTCCAGTGATTCCGGCAGAAAGTCCGATAAGCTCTGGGTCGATAGCACGCTGTGCAGACTGGCCGACGAATTGTCCAGGCTAGAGCTAGAGCTGGCTGGTGGATAGTGTAGGCCACGGACAATGGTGAAGACGCTAACGGTGACTAATAGCAAGTAGACATTCAGTTGCAGCTACACTAGTTTCAGCTTAAGTTTCTTGATGAAAGTTAGCTGTGGTACATTATATACAGAAGTATGTGGACACCCCTTCAAATTAGTTGATTCGGCTATTTCAGCCACGCGTTGCTGACAGGTGTATAAAATCGAGCACACCGCCATGCAATCTCCATAGACAAACGTTGGCAGTAGAATGGCCTTACTGAAGAGCTCAGTGACTTTTAACATGGCACCGTCATAGGATGCCACCTTTCCAACAAGTCAGTTCGTCAAATTACTGCCCTGCTACAGCTGTTATTGGGAAGTGGAAACGTTTAGGAGCAACAACGGTTCAGCCGCGAATTGGTAAGCCACACAAGCTCACAGAACGGGACCGCCGAGTGCCGAAGCACGTAGCGTGCAAAAATTGTCTGTCCTCGGTTGAAACACTCACTACTGAGTTCCAAACTGCCTCGGGAAGCAACGTCAGCACAAGAACTGTTCGTCTGGAGCTGGTGTAAAGCTCGCCGCCATTGGACTCTGGAGCAGTGGAAACGCGTTCTCTGGAGGGGTTAATCACGCTTCACCATCTGGCAGTCCGACGGACGAATCTGGGTTAGGCGGATGCCAGGAGAATGCTACCTGCCCGAATGCACAGTGCCAACTGTAAAGTTTGGTGGAGGAGGAATATTGGTCTGGGGCTGTTTTTCATGGTTCGGGCTAGGCCCCTTAGTTCCAGTTAAGGGAAATGTAACGCTACAGCATACAATGGCATTCTAGATGATTCTGTGCTTCCAACTTTGTGGCAACAGTTTGGGGAAGGCCCTTTCCTGTTTCAGCATGACAGCGAGATCCATACAGAAATGGTTTGTCGAGATCGGTGTGGAAGAACTTGACTGGCCTGCACAGAGCCCTGTCCTCAACCCCATCAAACACCTTTGGGATGAATTGGAACGCCGACTGTGAGCCAGACCTAATCGCCCAACATCAGTGCCCGACCTCACTAATGCTCTTGTAGCTGAATGGAAACAAGTCCCTGCAGCAGTGTTCCAACATCCATACACAAAAATTTATGCACGCATGACTGTAAGTCGCTTTGGATAAAAGCGTCTGCTAAATGGCATATTATTATTATATTATTATCTAGTGGAAAGCCTTCCCGGAAGAGTGGAGGCTGTTATAGCAGCAAAGGGGGGGACCAACTCCATATTAATGCCCATGATTTTGGAATGAGATGTTCGACGAGCAGGTGCACATACTTTTGGTCATGTAGTGTCTATTGGCCATACAGTGAGGGAAAAAAGTATTTGATCCCCTGCTGATTTTGTATGTTTGCCCAATGACAAAGAGATGATCAGTCTATAATTTTAATGGTAGGTTTATTTGAACAGTGAGAAACAGAATAACAACAAAACAATCCAGAAAAACACATGGCAAAAATGTTATAAATTGATTTGCATTTTAATGAGGGAAATATGTATTTGACCCCTCTGCAAAACATGACTTAGTACTTGGTGGCAAAACCCTTGTTGGCAATCACAGAGGTCAGACGTTTCTTGTAGTTGGCCACCAGGTTTGCACACATCTCAGGAGGGATTTTGTCCCACTCCTCTTGCAGATCTTCTCCAAGTCATTAAGGTTTCGAGGCTGACGTTTGGCAACTCGAAACCTTCAGCTCCCTCCACAGATTTTCTATGGGATTAAGGTCTGGAGATTGGCTAGGCCACTCCAGGACCTTAATGTGCTTCTTCTTGAGCCACTCCTTTGTTGCCTTGGCCGTGTGTTTTGGGTGATTGTCATGCTGGAATACCCATCCACGACCCATTTTCAATGCCCTGGCTGAGGGAAGGAGGTTCTCACCCAAGATTTGACGGTACATGGCCTCGTCCATCATCCCTTTGATGCGGTGAAGTTGTCCTGTCCCCTTAGCAGAAAAACACCCCCAAAGCATAATGTTTCCACCTCCATGTTTGACAGTGGGGATGGTGTTATTGGGGTCATAGGCAGCATTCCTCCTCCTCCAAACACGGCGAGTTGAGTTGATGCCAAAGAGATCGATGTTGGTCTCATCTGACCACAACACTTTCAACCAGTTCTCCTCTGAATCATTCAGATGTTAATTGGCAAACTTCAGACGGCCCTGTATATGTGCTTTCTTGAGCAGGGGGACCTTGCGGGCGCTGCAGGGTTTCAGTCCTTCACGGCGTAGTGTGTTACCAATTGTTTTCTTGGTGACTATGGTCCCAGCTGCCTTGAGATCATTGACAAGATCCTCCCATGTTGTTCTGGGCTGATTCCTCACCATTCTCATGATCATTGCAACTCCACGAGGTGAGATCTTGCATGGAGTCCCAGGCCAAGGGAGATTAACAGTTCTTTTGTGTTTCTTCCATTTGTGAATAATCGCACCAACTGTTGTCACCTTCTCACCAAGCTGCTTGGCGATGGTCTTGTAGCCCATTCCAGCCTTGTGTAGGTCTACAATCTTGTCCCTGACATCCTTGGGGAGCTCTTTGGTCTTGGCCATTGGAATCTGATTGATTGATCGCTTCTGTGGACAGGTATCTTTTATACAGGTAACAAACTGAGATTAGGAGCACTCCTTTTAAGAGTGTGCTCCTAATCTCAGCTCGTTACCTGTATAAAAGACACCTGGGAGCCAGAAATCTTTCTGATTGAGAGGGGGTCAAATACTTATTCCCCTCATTAAAATGCAAATCAATTTATAACATTTTTGACATGTGTTTTTCTGGATGTTTTTGTTGTTATTCTGTCTCTCACTGTTCAAATAAACCTACCATAAAAATTATAGACTGATAATTTCTTTGACAGTGGGCAATACTTTTTTCCCTCACTGTATATCACAAACCCCCTAGGTAGCTTATTGCTATTATAAACTGGTTACCAACATAATTAGAGCAGAAAAAATAACTGTTCTGTCATACCCGTGGTACACAGTATGATATACCATGGCTGTCAGCCAATCAGCATTCAGGGCTCAAACCACCCAGTTTATAATACAGTATCTTCATATTATAGAAGAATGTGTAAAATGTAAAAACAAAATAACAGGTGGCCAATAAAATCGAGTTGAAAATAACCTAAGGATTACATTAAAACAGCTGCTAGATCAACTCAGCATGAGAGTAAAAAATACCCAACTGATGGTTAAATTAACCCCATGTTTGGGTAATCCCAACAACCCAACTTGTTGGGTTATTCACATAACCCAGTGTGTGTTCTGTCCAATATTTAGCCAGCATTGGGTTACCAAATAGGGTTGTTTTTAACCCAGCATTTATTTGAGTGTATGGGTCACAGACACGGTACATCACAGAACAGTGATATACAAACAGAAACAACTTGCAATCACACACACATGCAGATGGAAGGCAAGCGTGTGTACGTGTGCGCACACACACACTCCAGTCATTTCCGTCAAAGCCTATGTGTACTTATAGACAACGTATAATCAGACAGTCTTATTTGATTTCCAAACATTTTGAGGTATACAGTATGAATGACCCTCTGATTAGTATAAAATACAATATCAAGGTATATTATTAATGATTAGCAGACCAGTCTCTCCATAGACTCCTAGCTTTTCTCAGCGCAACTATTTACACTGTTCCTAATAATACTTGAGATACTCCATACTCCACATCTGATCTCGACTGAAAGACTCAACCCTTTAATGACAGCTCAGATATGGTATAACATGACTAAATGTAACATACCTGCAAAGAGTAAAAACTGAAAACTGTGCAGAACACTGTGCTTGATGCTTGGGAGAGTGTGAGAGGAATGTGTGGATATGTGTGAGGATATGGATGAGTCTCTGTGTGTGTGTGTGTGTGTTTAGATAAAACAGCTAATCCCCAGGCCACCAGAACGCAATATCCTGTCTGGCGGTTTCTAATTTCCTGTCTCTCTCTGGCGGAGCGGGATGCAAGGGGGAGGGAGACAGGGGAGGGGGGAGAGAGACGGGGGAGGGGAGGGGACCCGTTGCCCCAGAAACAGGAGATACAGCCCCCCGATTTGAGAATGTTGACACCGCTCTCTGTCTCTCTCCCTCCTCTCCCTCCCTCTCTCGGGTCCACCCCCCATCTTTTCTTTTCTCTTTTTTTCTCTCGCTCTTCTTCTTTTATTATCTCAGATTTAATAACGGCGAGGCGAGCAGCTTGTTCTTCCATGAAACATTTATTAGCTGTCTGTAATGAAATTGTTGTGGGGGAGGCCAGATGATGGGGATTCATCGGGCATTATGCAAAAACTGTGGCAATATTACTAGGGGGTGACACAGACACACCTCGGCTCACACCTCACCTTCCTCCTCCTCGGTCTTCTTCTCCTAAACCTTTCTCTTTCACTCTCTCTTGCTTTTATCCCAATTTATCTTCTATCAATTTTATCCAACTTCTTCTTCTCATTTTCAGTCATCTCTCCATTATCTTTATGTCCTTTCTCTCTGTATAGCTTTGACACAATGCATGCCTTGATATAAATGTATCACTGTAAGGTTCGGTCTCTCCATCTCTATTCTCTTCCTACCTCTTCTCTCTCTTTCACACCTCTTTCATCACCTGTTGACGTGAGCTGGGAGGTGACGTGAGAACCCTTACTGTGTGTCTGGTGGAAGAGAAGGAGTGTGTCTGAAATAGCACCCTTTTCCTTATATAGGGGCACTGCTTTTGACCATACTGGCAACCTATTCTCTATATAGTGCACTATAGTGAAGTAATTTAATGCCATTTAGTGTCACTTCTGATAGAGACAAGACCTTGTGTTCAAAACCACAATACTCCTCAGGCTGGATATGGAGTACTAAACTTGGCTGTGTGTCTGTCTGTCTGATCATACCCCCTGTGGACGACTGTGTATGAGCCAAGGCCAACAACATATCCCTAACACACTCCTACACTCCCTCAGACTGAACTATAGTGAGTGCACTTGGGATGAATTCCTAACAATTCTTCAAAAAAGTGAGTATTCTTCAGAATGGAGATCATTGGCTGCAATCGGCTATGCTTCGGTTCTGACTGTATGCTGCATTGTACAGTAGGCTTACTGCAGTTGTGTTGATCAATCAGCTTTGTTGGTTTTGGCATATATTTTTTAGCAGTATATGTTTTAGCAGTATGGGCCAGAATAATGTCTTATGCTTGATTTAACCCATTCCCTCCGCTGTGCATACTAACTATCCATCTTGGTCCTCTGTAGCTCAGCTGGTAGAGCACGGCGCTTGTAACGCCAAGGTAGTGGGTTCGATCCACGGGACCACCCATACACATAAATTTATGCACGCATGACTATAAGTCGCTTTGGATAAAAGCGTCTGCTAAATGGCATATTATTATTATATTATTATTATTACTATTATTATTATCTTCTGGCACAGTTATACTGTATATGATAAACTGGGTGGTTCGAGCCCTGAATGCTGATTGGCTGACAGCCGTGGTACAGTGAGGGGGGAAAAGTATTTGATCCCCTGCTGATTTTGTATGTTTGCCCACTGACAAAGAAATGATCAGTCTATAATTTTAATGGTAGGTTTATTTGAACAGTGAGAGACAGAATAACAAAAAAATCCAGAAAAACGCATGTCAAAAATGTTATAAATTGATTTGCATTTTAATGAGGGAAATAAGTATTTGACCCCTCTGCAAAACATGACTTAGTACTTGGTGACAAAACCCTTGTTGGCAATCACAGAGGTCAGACGTTTCTTGTAGTTGGCCACCAGGTTTGCACACATCTCAGGAGGGATTTTGTCCCACTCCTCTTTGCAGATCTTCTCCAAGTCATTAAGGTTTCGAGGCTGACGTTTGGCAACTCGAACCTTCAGCTCCCTCCACAGATTTTCTATGAGATTAAGGTCTGGAGACTGGCTAGGCCACTCCAGGACCTTAATGTGCTTCTTCTTGAGCCACTCCTTTGTTGCCTTGGCCGTGTGTTTTGGGTCATTGTCATGTTGGAATACCCATCCACGACCCATCTTCAATGCCCTGACTGAGGGAAGGAGGTTCTCACCCAAGATTTGACGGTACATGGCCCCGTCCATCGTCCCTTTGATGCGGTGAAGTTGTCCTGTCCCCTTAGCAGAAAAACACCCCCAAAGCATAATGTTTCCACCTCCATGTTTGACGGTGGGGATGGTGTTCTTGGGGTCATAGGCAGCATTCCTCCTCCTCCAAACACGGCGAGTTGAGTTGATGCCAAAGAGCTCCATTTTGGTCTCATCTGACCACAACACTTTCACCCAGTTCTCCTCTGAATCATTCAGATGTTCATTGGCAAACTTCAGACGGCCCTGTATATGTGCTTTCTTGAGCAGGGGGACCTTGCGGGCGCTGCAGGGTTTCAGTCCTTCATGGTGTAGTGTGTTACCAATTGTTTTCTTGGTGACTATGGTCCCAGCTGCCTTGAGATCATTGACAAGATCCTCCCGTGTAGTTCTGGGCTGATTCCTCACCGTTCTTATGATCATTGCAACTCCACGAGGTGAGATCTTGCATTTAGCCCCAGGCCGAGGGAGATTGACAGTTCTTTTGTGTTTCTTCCATTTGCGAATAATCGCACCAACTGTTGTCACCTTCTCACCAAGCTGCTTGGCGATGGTCTTGTAGCCCATTCCAGCCTTGTGTAGGTCTACAATCTTGTCCCTGACATCCTTGGAGAGCTCTTTGGTCTTGGCCATGGTGGGGAGTTTGGAATCTGATTGATTGATTGCTTCTGTGGACAGGTGTCTTTTATACAGGTAACAAGATGAGATTAGGAGCACTCCCTTTAAGAGTGTGCTCCTAATCTCAGCTCGTTACCTGTATAAAAGAGACCTGGGAGCCAGAAATCTTTCTGATTGAGAGGGGGTCAAATACTTATTTCCCTCATTAAAATGCAAGTCAATTTTTTGTTGTTATTCTGTCTCTCACTGTTCAAAAAAACCTACCATTAGAATTATAGACTGATCATTTCTTTGTCAGTGGGCAAACGTACAAAATCAGCAGGGGATCAAATACTTTTTTCCCCTCACTGTATATCAGACCGTATACCACGGGTATGACAAAACATTTATTTTTACTGCTCTAATAAGGTTGGTAACCAGTTTATAATAGCAATAAGGCACCTCGGGGGTTTGTGGTATATGGCAAATATACCACGGCTAAGGGCTGTATCCAGGCACTCCGCGTTGCGTCGTGCGTAACGTTTCCTGTAGGTCTTGACCAGGTTTGCACACACTGCAGCAGGGATTTTGGCCCACTCCTCCATACAGTCCTTCTCCAGATCCTTCAGGTTTCGGGGCTGTCACTGGGCAATACGGACTTTTAGCTCCCTCCAAAGATTTTCTATTGGGTTCAGGTCTAGAGACTGGCTAGGCCACTCCAGGACCTTGAGATGCTTCTTACGGAGCCACTCCTTAGTTGCCCTGGCTGTGTGTTTCGGGTCGTTGTCATGCTGGAAGACCCAGCCATGATCCATCTTCAATGCTCTTACTGAGGGAAGGAGGTTGTTGGCCAAGATCTCGCGATACATGGCCCCATCCATCCTCCCCTCAATACGGTGCAGTCGTCCTGTCCCCTTTGCAGAAAAGCATCCCCAAAGAATTATGTTTCCCTTTCCATGCTTCACGGTTGGGATGGTGTTCTTGGGGTTGTACTCATCCTTCTTCTTCCTCCAAACACGGCAAGTGGAATTTAGACCAAAAAGCTCTATTTTTGTCTCATCAGACCACATGACCTTCTCCCATTCCTCCTCTGGATCATCCAGATGGTCATTGGCAAACTTCAGACGGGCCTGGACATGCGCTGGCTTGAGCAGGGGGACCTTGCGTGCGCTGCAGGATTTTAATCCATGACGGCGTAGTGTGTTACTAATGGTTTTCTTTGAGACTGTGGTCCCAGCTCTCTTCAGGTCATTGACCAGGTCCTGCTGTGTAGTTCTGGGCTGATCCCTCACCTTCCTCATGATAATTGATGCCCCACGAGGTGAGATATTGCATGGAGCCCCAGACCGAGGGTGATTGACCGTCATCTTGAACTTCTTCCATTTTCTAATAATTGCGCCAACAGTTGTTGCCTTCTCACCAAGCTGCTTGCCTATTGTCCTGTAGCCCATCCCAGCCTTGTGCAGGTCTACAATTTTATCCCTGATGTCCTTACACAGCTCTCTGGTCTTGGCCATTGTGGAGAGGTTGGAGTCTGTTTGATTGAGTGTGTGGACAGGTGTCTTTTATACAGGTAACGAGTTCAAACAGGTGCAGTTAATACAGGTAATGAGTGGAGAACAGGAGGGCTTCTTAAAGAAAAATTAACAGGTCTGTGAGAGTTGGAATTCTTACTGGTTGGTAGGTGATCAAATACTTATGTCATGCAATAAAATGCAAATTAATTACTTAAAAATCATACAATGTGATTTTATGGATTTTTGTTTTAGATTCAATCTCTCACAGTTGAAGTGTACCTATGATAAAAATTACAGACCTCTACATGCTTTGTAAGTAGGAAAACCTGCAAAATAGGCAGTGTATCAAATACTTGTTCTCCCCACTGTATATAGTTATTCTCTTAGACTTGTCATCACTGGAGTGGCTGAGTACATTTGGTAATTAGCGCTGTGTCCAATCAACCCCCTCCCTCCATCCCACCCTCCCTCTCCTCCCGTCCTGAGACACAAAGAGGCGCTGAGCGGAGAGACGATTAAGAGAAAACGAGGGATAAACGGAGAGATAAACTGATTGATGTCATCACTGCTATCAATCTCAACGAGCGGGAAATGAGGTTTGGAATCGAGAAATATTATTACAAACCAGACAGTGATGAATGAGGTAATGGAGAGAGGGGGAGCGAGAGAGGGAGGCAGGAGGAGGGGGATGGGTGGGAGAGATACTGTATCTGTGTGGAAGACATGATTTCTCTGTTCTCAATCCCAGCATAGGACAACAGTGACTCCACATAGAACCACGTAAAATGAGAGGGTGGGCTTCTGGCCTGGCAGTTTGAGAGATTGTTTGGTCAGTGAACGTTGGTCTTGGCTGTGACTCTTGGGGCCTCCGCTCCCGTGTGACTGTGGGAGTCTCCCCTCTCCCCTGCTCCAGACAGGGTCTCCAT